TCTCTGGGTCGGTATTTTCCCAGGACTCTCTAAGGGGCCAGTAAAAGAGTATGGTTCTCCTCCAGGACTTCTGGTACCCAAGGAGTGCTTTTCACACCAGTTTTCATCAGGCCCAGGAAGTGGGCTTGTGTTCCAGTTTATAGGCTTCATGGAGAAATGATCAGTGTATGCAGGGAGTTGAAATCTTTGGATAAATCTCAGTCCTCTGTTCTTGTCTATACTGATTTGAAGGTAAACATTTGGAAAAGTAGGTACCCTGAAAAAATGTAAACCACATATTGTGTGTGTGTGTGTGTGTGTGTGTGTATGAAATTCTCAAACAATAAAAAAGAGAGAAAGAAAAAGAAACAAAAAATGTAAACTCCAGGAATGTGTTAGTCATCCAGTATTGCCAAAGTGAACAATAACTTTCATAGCCAAGGTTTGAAAATAATTCATTTATACATCAAACATTTGGATCAGGCTATTAACCTTCCCATTGACAAATGCATTCTCAGAATAGAGTATATAGTTTTTAAAAACTTCATGCAAGCAATATTTTTTTTTCTCTTACTAGACAAATCCGGGATACAGTGAACTGGATATTCAGTGAGCAGATGTTGGTTTACTACATCAATGCTTTCCGGGATGCTTTTTGGCCAAATGGGAAGTTGGCACCGCCAACTCGAGTCCGAAGCCAAGGGCAGAGTCAGGAGACGAAGCAGAGAGCACAGCAGAAGCTGCTAGAGAACATTCCAGGTGAGGCCTGGCCTGCAAGAGAGGCTGGAGACGGACGTTAGCACTGTGGAGAGGTGCGCCCCCGGAGGCTGCTTCTCAGGGTTTGCTGAGAAGACACTGAAGAGCAGCACACTGTGTGCTTAAAGTTGACCACGAAACTTTAGAAATGTGTGTAAAACGCATTTATTTTCATTACCAAAACAAGTAGTAGCAAATGCTAAAATTGTAGCCTTCATAAATGCCCTTCGGTAAAAAGAATTCTAAATTTTTTTTTTTAATGTCCAAGAGAACCAACCAGTTATATTAATTATGCCTCCATGCTTTATTATGTGTTGTACATCATCACTTGAGGACAGAAAATGGATTTTTTCAGATCTCAGGATAGAGCGCTTGCTTAGTATGATGGCTGACATTGTCAACCTGACAGGATCTGGAGTCACTAAGAGACAGGCCTCTGTGCATGCCTCGAGATGATCTCGCTTAGGTTAACTGAGGTAGAGAGACCCACCTTACGTGTAAGTGGTACTCTTCCATGGGCTGAGGTCCTTGTCTGAATATGAAGGAGAGAGTGAGCTGAGCACCAGCGTCCATCTGCTGCTCTTGCTTCCTGCCTGGATGCTGCATGAGCAGCCTGCTCAGGCTCCCGCGGCTGTAACTTCCTTTCCATGTTGGACTACACCTCGAAGTGTGAGCCAAGATACGCCCTTCCTCCCTCTTTCGCTTTGTCAAGAGTTACTTTATCGCAGACAACAGGAAAATAAACCCTACACACGCAAGGCCTAAGTTCAGCCCTCAGCAGTTCACCAAAATGTGCAAACTTTTCTTCCCCCAGATACCCTTCAGAGCCTTGTTGGACAGCAAAATGCCCGTCACGGTATAATAAAAATATTCAAGGCACTGCAAGAAACAAGAGCTAATAAGCACCTCCTATATGTGAGTAACGAGCCCCAGAGGACTCTTTCTTTTTGGATTTTATATTTCTGTATACATAGGAGGATAACTTTTGATCCTCATATTCTCAATTACTTTTATTACTTATAACTCCAGCCTGCTTTTTTTTCTGCTTCATTTTTATCTCTCCTCTCATTTGATTAAGAAGTATAAAGGGCACAGAGCAGTCCTCTTTTCACACACTGAGTTCCCTGTTGACTGCTGATTTAACATCTCTGCACGACTCTGTAGTTTTTGTTATTTCGGCAAGCGAAACTTTTTCTAATTAGAATTACCGATATCAGGCCCGTGTGGTGGTACAAGTCTATAATCCAAGTACTCAGGAGGTAGAGGCCAGTGGGGGCTGCATGACACCGTGTCCCAATATTAAATGTCATGGACAGTTGGATGTGTCGAATAGACCATGAAATAGATGGAGTTTCTGTAGTCCTGAACTCTTGAGAGTCCCCCGTTCACTGAGGACGGTCTTAGCGCTCTGCGTAGACTCTCCTGCCAAGCACACGTTGTGAGAAAACCTTCACACAGCCCCGTCTTCACTTCTCTTTCTCGGGACAGGTCCTGATGGAGCTGCTGCTGCTGGAACTGTGTCCTGAGCTGAGAACTCACTTGGATCAATTCAAAGCTGGCCAAGCCTGAGACTGCACAAACCAACCACCAGAGAAATGTCTGTGTAATAATAGACATGAAACATTTTCCTCTTTTCCACAGAGGGCCTGACAAGAACCATACTGATTTTTATTTTCGTACCTCCCTCTAGTTTGATGTGAAATAAGGTCAATCGGAGGGAGGCGGACCGATGCTGGGGTAGGCAGTAGGAAAACAAACTGATGTTCGTCGGTTTTTATTTAAATGATAAATACTTTAAAGCTCAACTTGCCGATTGAAATACAAATGTTAATATGTGATAAGAACATAGGAAATATTTTAAATATTTATGAAAACAGTTTTGTTGTTAAATGACAAACTCTGAATCTTGTACAGTTAATCTCCTCACTGAGGATTCTGAACATTCCTGTGTTTCACGTGTATTGAAGAACACTGTTGTGCGATGCTTGGTGTAAAGTTATTGTGAAAATTTTATTGTCTTTATTTTTACCAAAGATTTCCCATAGTTTGAAGCATTTGAAGCAATAAAATTTAAAAATGAATCACAGTGCTCAAAGGTATCAAGCTTGTGTCACAGAAGGAACAAGAGCTTGGCCACTTGGGTAGCTAAGATGTATTTGTCAAGAGCCCTTTCATAGACAGCATTGCCCACTGGGAGCTTCTGCAAGAAAGTGTGGAGTTTGCTGCCTGCTTTTTAGTGCACGAAAAGGCCAACTTGGTGAGTTGCTGGGGAGATAAGGTGTGAGCTAAGCCTTGGAGGAATTAGCCTAAAGCCAGGGAAACAGAAGAGGGACGTTGCTTCATGGAGTTGAAAGATTCCGTTAAACCCATAGTCTTGTGCATTACAAGGGCGTTAGGTGAGGTGCAGGGTCTGGATTTTGTCGTTATTGATAGTGGGACCATGGACAAGTCACTGAGTCAGTGTTCCTGGGCTTTGTCATGTGTTAGGCAGTCATAGTCATACACTGTCCTTTCTCTGGTTTCTAGAATACTGAAAACAAAAGGCAAAACTGCAATCTGAATAAAAGAAAAACTATATTCAAGTGGTATAGGTTTATCGTACTAATAGCTCATAACTGTCAAGTTCTTGATGAGACACACTTCTAAAAGATGGACAATTAAAACAGTACAAGTTTCACTGTTGAGAGTCTTCTGATTATAGCTCTCTGGTCCCTTTGTTCAGACTAAAATGGTATTCGAAACTTCAGACAAAACTGAGGTTGGCTATTTTATGCATAGGAATTGTCCTTCAATGAGATATCGAAAAGACCATTTAGAGTAATTCATGGAAGAGAAATAATGCAAGGTTGTACATCGTTTGCATAATTCTAAGCCATCGCTTAAACATTGGGTCTTAAATTTAAACTGCACGTAAGAAAAAGATACTCTCAGCTGGGAGGTGGTGGTGGTGCACGCCTTCAATCCCAGTACTCTGGAGGCAGAGGCATGGGCCAGCCTGGTCTACAGAATAAGTTCCAGGACTGCCAGACTACACAGAGAAACCCTGTCTCAAAAGGGGAAAGAAAGAGAAAGCGAGGAAAGAGAGAGAGAGAGAGAGAGAGAGAGAGAGAGAGAGAGAGAGAGAGAGAGAGAGAGAGAGAGAGATCCTCTAACTCTTCTATCTCTTTATGACAGAGTCTGATAATCAACTATAATGAATCTAGAAATTTGGACTTAAAGTAAGTTGGAAGTCTCCCATCACTTGGGATAAAAAGTGGTCCCGCTCCCTGGTGAGCATGAGCAACAGTGGGAGGTGCCAGGTGCCAGGCTATCAGCTCTGTGGTAAATACAGTACACAAAAATTGAAATTCCACACTGGGTTCCCAGTCAGGCGTGGCGTATCACCAAATACGACACCTGTTGTGGTGGTTCCGGTGCGGCTGTACCCTCGCTAGCTCGCATATTTGAACAGCTGAGCCCTGGTTGGCGGTGCTGTTTGGGAAGTGTAGAGTTGTTAGAGGGAGCATGTCACTGGGGGTTGACAGGTCTCCCCTCACCCCACCCCCCATCTCCCACCTCTCTCGGTGTGAGATGTGAGCTCTCAGCTTCCTGCTCTGTCGCCATACCTGCCCCTACCTCCATTATGAACTCTAACCCTCTGGAACCACAAGCCAGAATACACCGTTTCTTAGGTAGGTTTCCTTGGTTACAGTGTTTTATCACAGCAACAGAAAAGTGACTAATACCTTGTTAAATTCCCAACACTGAAGATTTGGGGGACATGTTTCTTTTTCATTTTTCTATTGTTCAGTGTTTTTCTATTTTTCAGTGCTGGAAAATCTAACTCAGGGTCTCATGCATCAGGCGGATAGATGCCTTCCCCCCGAGGTCCACCTCCATCCCCGAGACTTGCTTCCTTTGTATCTGGCTGTATTTTTCTCACACTGGGGATGAACTCCAGGGCCGCGTCTGTCTGTGCTAAGCAAGTGCACTACCACTAAGCAACATGACTGCTACTTTTTAAAGTCTCTATTTTGAGACCAGATCTTTCTAAGTTATCCAGGCTGACCCCAAATTGATGATCCTCCTGCATCAGCTTTCCAAGTAGCTGCATGTATGATTGTGTACTCCCACAGCTTGCTGAGGCCTGTTTTTTTTTTTTTCTTTTTGAGACAGGGTTACCCAGGCTTACCCTCTTGCCTCCCCTTTCCCAAGGCTGGTGTATTAGTTTTTTGTTTTTGTTTGTTTGTTTTCTGTTGGTGCAGTAAAAACACTATGACCAAAAGTGACTTAAGGAGAAAGTAGTTTATTTGGGCTTACAGTTCCAAAGGGATTGAGTCCATCCTGGTGGGGAGGCACGGAAGCAAGTGGCAGGCGCAGCAGTGGGAACAGAAAGTTGAGAGCTTCCGTCTTCAATCAAGAGCCCAAGCAGAGTGTCCACTGGAACTAAGGCTAGGCTGTGAACTCGCAAACCTGTCCCTGGCGACAATAAAAAGCCCTCCCCAAACAGCACCACCCACTGGGGACCACACACCAGAGCCCAGAGGGACAGTTTGCACCCCAGCCAGCACAGCCAGGGTCACAGGTACACACCACCACACCTGGCTCGGAACCCCAATTTTAATGGCACTTGTAAAAGTGGGCTTCCCTTTGGGTTGAGGAAAGGCAGTTCCTTCCCTACATGCACTGTTCTAGTAAACTTTCTCTTCTTTAGTATATTCCTGTTGGAGCTGGGAACAGTGGGGTGCTCTGTAAGCCCACCTAGTCAGGAGGCGAGAGCAAAAGAGACCACTTAGCACCATGGAGAGAGGCTATCTAAAAAGAAAAACTCCGCTGGGCGGTGGTGGCGCACACCTTTAATCCCAGCACTCGGGAGGGGGAGGCAGTCAGGTGGATCTCTGAGTTTGAGGCCAGCCTGGTCTACAAAGTGAGTTCTAGGATAGCCAGGGCTGTTACACAGAGAGGGCTTGTCTCGGGGGAAAAAAATTTATTTTAAAGAATTTTATTTAGTTAGTTGTTAGTTGGGGTTTTGTTTGTTTTGTTTTGTTGCTGTTTTTCTTGATACAGTGTCTGTCTACATAGCTTTGGCTGTCCCAAAACTCACTATATAGACCAAGCTATCCTGGAAGTCACAGAGATCCACCTGACTCTGCCTCCCAAGTTCTGGGATTATAGGTGTGTACCACCACGCTTGGTCTTAAAGAATTTATTTAAGAGAGAAAGAGCATGTGTGTGTGTGTGTGTGTGTGTGTGTGTGTGTGTGTGTGTGTGTGTGTGTGTGTGTTTACTAGAAGAACTAGAGCAAAGCAAGCTTGGAGAAAAAAGTTGAAGTTGCTATAGTAAGCTTCGAGGCTTGAGCTATTGAGCAGGATGTTGGGAGGGAATATAGAGTATTCAGTAGCTATTATAGAGGAAAAGGCCTTATTTCCAGGGTTGGTTTGAGACTGTAACTTTTGTAGAGAATGCAGAAGTGTACAACTACTTCTTTTTATATAAAAACAAAGTTCAATTAATGTAAGTACATGAGTGCCCAACCAAGGCCAGGCTTCCCGTTCTGCAGCAGCAGCTCTAGCAGATGCCACCACATGGAAACTCCGTTTTCTCACCACTGACAGATTTTATTTATTCACCGTTGCCAATGACATTGTACGGCTCAGTGGTTAAGAGCACTGGCTGAACTTCCAGAGGACCCCAGTTCAATCCCCAGCACCCACATGGCAGCTCACAGCCGTGCATACCTCCAGCTCTAGGAGATCAAACGCCCTCTTCTGGCTTCCTCTGGTGCCGGTCATGTGTGTGGTGCACAGACATGTAGGCAGAACACCCATACACATAAAATAAATTTTAATTTTTCAAGAGAAAATGACATTGAGATTTATAAAATAAAGCCATACCAGCTAATATGCTGACAAAAGGCGGGGATTAAGAGCTCTTTAGGACCTACTGTTTTTAATACATTTCACAAACATGTCACTGCACCATCTAAAGCATACGGACCTTTGTTTTCACTGTGGCCTTTCCTTTCGTAGATTTTACTGACAGTAAGACAGTGTGTTGCTAATTACATTTTCTTTCTTTCTTCTGAGACAGCAGAGTCTCACTATAGCCCCGGCTGACCTCAGACTCAGATCTTCATGCCTCTGCCTCCCAACTGCCACCTAGCCTGCTAATTTTGACACAATATTTAGATGTGTGTCACCAATATATGGAAAAATGTTTGCGAATTTATTTAAGTATTTAGAAACTTCTGTACGCTGAAGGAGACAGTCATCAGAGTAAAGACACAGTCTACAAAATGGGAAAAAATCTACCAACTAATAATATCCTTAATATCTGTGATGTATAAAGAATTGCAAAAATTAAAACACTAAAAACCAGAATCATCCAACCACGTAGATGGGCTAAAAGAACTACCACGTTGCCCAGCTATTCCACTTCTGGGTATGCCTAAAGGATTCGGGTCGACACACTACAAAGGTAAGTGTCCACATTCATCTTTGCACCATTCATAGTAGCTAGGAAATGCAGCCAGCTTAGATGTCCCTAAACAGATGAAGGAAGAAAATGTGGAAGAAACTCAATGAGATTTGATGCAGCCCTAACAAAAAATGAAGTACTTGCCGGGAAAACGGATGGAACTGGAAGTCATCATGTTACATGAAATTAGGCTCTGAAGGGCAAACTGTCTTCTCTCACGTAGAACTGAGATTGGAAAGAGTGTGTGTGTGTGTGTGTGTGTGTGTGTGTAGAACAGTGTTTGTATTTCTGTGTGTGTGTTTATAGCTCATGAAAATGGAGGCTCATACATGGAGAGGAAGGGATCTTAAGAGAGGTGGAAATAAGTAATAGAAAGTATGTGGTAAGAAAGGAGAAGGGAGCCAGGTGATGATGGAGCACACCTTTAATCCCAGCACTCGGGAGTTTCTAAGATTTAAATGTTTCTAAGATTTAAAAAATATAGAAAATGAATTCAAATGAAAGCATATTGCTGTAATTCTTATATTTATCAGGGATCGTAATTTTTTTGCTTAATTGAGATCTTTGAGGGTACATTTGGAGGGACATGGTGCTACATAATTTAATTCCATTTTTAAAAAATTTACAAATTAGCCAGTTATCTGTAAGAATCTTTTAATAAGCTATGGGAATGCTATACACTTTCTACAAAAAAGATTTGGAAGCCTAATCTTTAAATTTTCTTTGACCTTCATTTAATTTTGTGAAAAATTTCAGATGGCTCAATACATTTTCAAATTAGCAAAATTCATAAACAAATGCCAAAGAAAATATAAAGAATTAAACTTTCAAATTGCGTTTGAACTAAGTCAGCAGCACGTGTACTTTGGAAACTACAAAACCCAGTCTGTACTAAGTCATTTCAGACACTGTATTTAATAAGGCAAAGGGTTACTTGGTTTTGGCATGCTTTCAAACTCATTGCAGTCCAGGCCACTGTACAGGCTAAGAGGTGGGTCTCTGAGGACTCTTCCCAGCGACTGGATTGGTGTCTAAAGTTGAGTTTGTGCAAATTACAGAATACAAATACAAGAATGAAGGAAATGTTTCTGTAAAATACCCCGGATAATATAACGGGGATGCAGGAAATAACAGATGGAGCTGCTGTGAGCATACACACACACACACACACACACACACACACACACACACACACACACACACACACACTGTTTCAGGTGAGGATTGATGGGCTTCGTTGAAATGCATTGTGGTCTAAATTCTTTGGCGAATTAGTAAGGCGTGAAGCTCATCTGCCAATGTGGGGTTCAGCTGGCAAGCCTTAAAGAGAGAAGAGAGTTGGATAGTTGACAAATTCTCATTGCTCGGTTCTTCTCTTTTTAAAAATAGACAAACCTCTACACATAATTTTAAAATGAAAACTAAAGAATTATTAAAACAAGAGAAATAGAAACCATTAACATTTGGTCTCAAGCTGTTCTATCCTGAAAACAGCAGAATCTATAATAATTAGATTTTAAAATATAGTTTTATCATGCCTAAATAGTGACAAGGTGCATGATTCTAGAATGTCAAGTGTTTGGCAGGAGCATCAGAGGTTATCTGGTATAAGCACCATTCGGAGCAGAAATTGTCTCTCCAGTGCCGGGGACATTGGTCTTACACTATTTGCTTAGCTTCTTGCTATTGGCCAGGAGTTGTTATCTTCTAAGAGAAAACTTTTGTACTCGTTCCTGAGAGAGTGAAGTCAAAAGGTTCTTCTTTGCATTGAGCTACAATGTCCCTCCACATACTTTAGAAACACTGGGTTCTGGGAGAACACACAATGCTTAGACATGCCGAAGGGGCCACATCAGCCGAAGAACGAGCTAACACCAGACAAGGGTCCCTGGCCTGACCCCTGGGATTCTGCCATCTTCCTGCCCTATTTTTGGTGTAGCTCCAAATCCCCTCCCTCCTCGCCACAGTTCCTCTGTGCAGGACGTTCCGGTCATGGACCCTTCACTGTCAGGACTCCTTCATGTTTAGTTCTCAGGGAACATACCCTGTTTCCCTCGGCAGACCTCATACAACTTCATTAATATGCTGCCTCCTCCCTGTCTCCACTTCATCAGTATCTTCCACAGTATGCACTGGGCTAACTGGGTGCTGTGTTCTACCTACAGCGTTAATACACAGCAATGGGGCGATTGTCTCCCAACAGGTGGAAGGACAGTTCTTGGGTTGCTGTTGGTTTACTGCCCTTTCATGATGTTTATACCAAATATCGGGTCATTTAAACTAGACTTCCTCCCATACTTATCCTCAAAGCATACTGTGGATAATCTAGAACATGAAATTGGACTAGTTTGGAGATTAGTATGCTGCAAGAAGGGTTTCTATTTTTGGGAAAACTTCCCTTTGTTCACCCTCGTTTCTCACATGAAAAGAATGGGGTGGTGGTAAATAGCCCAGACATCAGCTGTATTTGTTACTTTGGAAATCTGTTTAAAACACAATAGCTCATCTCTCTCTCTCTCTCTCTCTCTCTCTCTCTCTCTCTCTCTCTCTCTCTCTCATCTCTCTCTTTTTAAGATTTATTATGTATACATTGTTCTGCCTGCACGCCAGAAGAGGGCACCAGATCTCATTACAGATAGTTGTGAGCCACCATGTGGTTGCTGGGAATTGAACTCGGGGACCTGTGGAAGAACAGCCAGTTCTCTTAACCTCTCAGCCATCTTCCCCAGCCCCATAGATCATGTTTCTAAACATGTGTGCATACTAGAATACTCTAGAGAGCTTTGGCAGGTATGGTGGTATCCCATTCCCAGAGACTGAATGAATTCTTCCAAAATAAGGTCTGGTACTAGCCTCTAATTCCAGAATCTTCAGGTCCCACAGACACAGGATTGCCATGAGTTCCAGACCAGCCTGGGCTGCACATCAAGTCCTTGACCACAGAACTACATACAGAGTTAATTATGATGCCGTTCTAATTTGTGAACACCATGGACCTAAAGCATGCACAATTTTTTAAAAAATTCACTGCAGTTTCTATTACAATCTCCCCACATTTCCAGCCCCACCTGGAAAGTGACCACGTGGATTAAAATGTGAGAGGGTTACTGATTACCTCATACTCATGAAACTTTGTCCTGGGTTTAATGCTTTAAAACCTTCATTTAACTCCAATATTAGAGTGAAGATGTGTAAATTTTTTGTTTGGTGAAGACACAAACATTTAGACTGTAAGGACAATGATAGGCCTTAATTCGCAGGTGACAGCCGATTTAAGGAGACCAATTCGCATCAAAAGGGGACTTTTATCACCTGAGCTTAATTATGCTGGTCCGAATCTACCAGGTGCAGCCTGCCCAGCCTCCCCCATAGACAGGTGATCTGCAGAGTGATAGAAAACAACCCCGGAGAGCCGTGGTTTCCGGCTAGGTCAGTCTCTAGTTCCTCCCCAGGCTTACTTTGGAATAGTAGTGTTTGGCAGCCGCTTCGTCTTTCTTAATACCCAAGCCAAGCTGGAGACACCGAGCGTAGTAGAACGACGCCATGGCCATGCCTTTGCTGATGAACTCGGGGAGACAGTCCGTGACGTGGGCTATCATGGGGATGTCGTGAACCTCGTCGTAGTCCGCTATCCTGAGGGGATGGGAAATTTTAAAAGGGACGTCAGCCATGCTTTACGTTTACACAGAACAGCCCTGTGGAAAGTCTGTGCTCAAAGTGACGTCCCTGCCCTTTTGAGAAGTTTGCTGTGTGGGGAAGTTATGTAGTATCATCTGCTAAGAAAGAGCAGGGAAGGACAAACTAGCCCAGAGCTTCCTTGTGGAGATACTTACAGAGGGATTAGCCACTAGGGAAATTTGGTTCTTATTAATATTTTAAGCATAATATTATCTTGTGGATCAATTGAGTAGGGGATAAAACAGGATCCTCTGTTCCCTTATGTAGGGGGCAGAGGAAGCCCTGGGTGAGGGAAGTCCTGAGGGAACGTGTATTTTGACATGGGCACAGCGGTGTCAGAAACTCCAAGGCCTCGGACTGATGGGACAGTTGGTAAAGCTTACTCATTGGGCCAGGCTGGAAAGAAATGGTAAAGCTTTTCTTAGGCGTCCAAGTATGAGTGCTTGCGGATGGCAGATCACTGTGTGCAAAGACTAGCAACTGCTACTTTCCTCCTCCAGGTGTTTACAGCTGGAGACAACTGCTTCCCTACAGAGACCGCCATCCAAAACAACATACTGAGGTTCTGGGTTGAGGTGGTAGCAGAATCCCACCAGAACCTAGCTACATTATACGTGTGTATGTCTGCCCTTTCTTTATTTCCTCACTGTCCCTAGCCAGGGTCTCAGGATCCAAGCTGTTCTAGAACATGGCACCCTTGGATCATCCACTGAAACATCAGCCTTCAGTCTAGACAGTCCATCACACAGGCCCGCTTTAACATGGTAAGAAATTAGCATATTTATCTCAAAAAATGTGCAAGGGAAAAACCAGCCATTGCAAACTGTACATGAATATGAGAACTTATGTGAGAAGGAGATTCTAGCCAACTTCATGTTAGCTACGATGTTAGGGGGAGTAGGGTGGAAAAATGATGCTAAGTTCTGAAACCTTTAAAGATCTGTTCAGGCTTGGGAACTGGCTCAGCAGACACAGGCTCTGACCACCGAGCCCGAGGGTCCGAGTTTAAAGTAATCCCTCAAGACCCACATAGTGGAAGGATGCAACCATGTTGCTCTCGGACCTTCACATGGATGCTGTGCCGTGTGCACATGCACACACAACAAAGGAATCAGTGCAATATGTTTTTTAAGAACTGTTCAGAATCTTAGCCAGGATGGGCACTTGTTGGGAATACCAGAGTTGGCTCCCTCAGTGACCTGCTGCCTGGAAGCTAAGATGTCCAGGAGGGGAAGGGGGGAACTGTTCTCTCTTGCTTTCCTCTCCATCCCTGTCACTCCCCTGGGGTGGGGGGTGGGAGCATGTCTGGGGACTATGGGCAGCGCACCCATAGCCTGGTGGCCACTCTAGAGTGCCCTGGACTGTTTTTCCTGGTCTGGATAAATATATGTAGGCAACAGAATGGAGCCTTAGGGACTCAGAAAATTCCAAAGAATTCAGAAGACATTCGTGTAAGTCTTCAAATGATACCCCAATCACGAAGCTTTATTTCAACCACACAGAGATAGAACTCTGTGTATAGAAGGGAATATAGGAAGAGATTAAGATTTCTTAAGGGGCAATTCTAATGTGTCAATTTTCACCTGAGAAAACCCACTTCAGCTAAGAGCTGTGAAATCCTGAAGGGGAATGGTACAGAATTGTACTTTTCAATATGGTCAGAACTAGCCATACTGGCTATTCACTTCAATTTTAACTGGTTTAAAATTTCAGTCTTGGGTGCACTGGAGTATTTAAGGTCTTTGGACCATTGTCATTTCAACCCTGAAGAAAAGTTTTATGGACAGGATCTGGCACAACACCAAGTACTTATAAATACCGCTACTCATTATTCAAACATTATTGTGGCTTGAATGTGTCCCCTGAAACATTCATGTATCGCCAGTGTCACCACCGATTAATAGGTATTTAGGTCACAAGGGCCTCCCTCATTCATGCATTAAGGCCCTTCTCTAGAAGGCTGCACACGGGGAGGGGGGTTGCCCTTCAACACCCTTCATGTGAGGGACACAACCTTCCTCCTCTCTGGAGAACACAGGCTTCACCAGCCCACTGAACTTCTCAGAACTTTGATCTGGGCTACAGAAATGTGAGAAACAATGTCTTATTGGTTATAAAGCACCCATCTGTGGTGGTGGGGTAGCAACACAAAATGAACCAAGACAGTCACCTTTTGGAGAACACAACACACTTGGTAAAGAACTTCATCTTGTAGTAGTACTCCACCAGAGTCCCCTGGGCGTAGACGTTCCCTCGTTCGGCTAGCTTCCCGTAAGCAATGCAGGCAGCCTCGGTGTCCTGGCGGATCCCCCTGCCCGTAAAGTACATGAGACCAAGTGCACCCTGGGACTCCAGATTTCCGTTGCCACAAGCTTCCGAATGCCAGAAAAATGCCTGAGAAATCACAATGTCATTGTATTATCTGCAGGATGAAATTACAAGGGAGTTCTAGAAAGAAAAAGTCCTAATTACAGTTGTAGGGTCACGGGCCACATCTCCAGGAACTACTTCTACAGGAATGCCCTTGACTATATTTACATGGGCACGGAGTCCACGTGCTTCAAAGAGCCCAAGTGAATCTCCACAGGCCAGCGTTGTTCGTGGCAGAGGAAGGTCTGCTTGTCTTGGGTTTCAAGCTTCACAATATATACAGTTATATAAAGAAATATAGTTTTTTTTAAAAAAGTCTTTAAAGAGACAGTAAAGGAGTATAAAAAAATAAGCCATGTAAGATGGGTATTACACAGAGAATCTGGATTGTGTTGTCTTTGGGATTTTTAACTGCAGAAAAACATTTGATTGTAAAAGCTGTTGAGTTTAGACCAGCAATATAAGTCTCTGTGTGTTTACTTGGTTGGGTCTGAGTGGCTGCGGGGAACTGGCAGGTGAGAGAGATTTGTCTTGGACTGAGGGCCAGGCAGGACCAGAAACACTCTAGCTACAAACAAGTTCAACAGAGTTAAAGTGGAGAAGAGGCAAACTAGGAACTAAGGGAACGTTTCCACCTGCAAGGAGATGCCCTCAGGAAACCACCACCCATGCCAAGGAAAAGCGAGAGCCTGTGTATGGTTTTTGTTGTTGTTGTTGCTCTGACCAAACACCTGGTGAGGAGCAACTTCAGGAAAGAAGGGTAATTTTGGCTCATGGTTCCTCCCTCGTGGCAGGGAAGGCATGGTGACAGGAACAGGAGGTAGCTGGCTGCTCACATCGCCTCACAGTCAGAAGCAGAGGGTAGGTAGGAAGTAGAACCAGGCTAGAAAACCCCAAATTCCTCCCACTTCCTCCAGTGAGGCTCCATCTCCTAAAGGTACCACAACTTTCCAAACAGTGCCACCAGCTGGGACCAAAAGTTCAAACATAGGGGTTTATGGGACCATTTCATACTCAAACCATAGCAGAGCTCCGGCTGGATCTCAGGAGGTGCTGGCTGCCAAGGTCCAAAACAGCTTAGGCTGAACATCATCTCTGTATTTGTTACGTTTCTCATTGCTGTGGCCAAATACCTGACCGAAAGAGAATGGTTTATTCTGGCTCACAGTCTGAGAAGGGTACAGCCCACTATGAGAGAACATCATGGTGGCAGGAGCTTGAGATGGCTGGTTACATTGCATCCCCAGTAGAATGCAGAGAGATGAATGCACTTGCTCAGAATGCACTTACTCAGTCAGAGTGCTCATTTTTATTTTTTATGTTTATTCATTTCTTGTGTGTGTGCACATGTGTGTGTGTGATCTGTGGGAGTCGGTTCTCTCCTTTCTCGTGTGGGTTCTGAGGATCAAACTCGGGTGGTCAGGCTTGGTGGCAAGCACACCTTACGTTGAGCCTCCCCACTGGCCCCACGTTTTGTTTCTTACGTGGTCTGAGAGCCTAGCGATTTAGTACCACCCCACATTTAGAGCATGTCTTCCCACCTCATCCTAACCTAGATGGTCCCTCACACATCCGCCAGAGGCTTTGCTCTTAGTAATTCTACATCCCCGATTAACTATCACATGACCATTTGCCTAACACTCTGAATCTGATTTAAAGACATTAGGAGTGGCTGCTCAGATGTTTGAGGAACATTCCTGCCTCTTACCTGCCTCTTAGGAATTTGCCATTAACCCTTCACCGACCAGTAGGACTCAGCCCTACAGTTCCTTCTCATTGTATAGGATTTCCTTGCACTCATTCTTGTGACACTGTATTTTCACAGAAATACAGTGGCTTTCACTTTTAATTCCAGTGTGTTTTACTCAGCGGTGTCTGTACTACTTCCTCAAATCAAAGGAAGCAGGCTTTAGTCACGCTTAAATGCTTTCTGGCCATTATCTCAGGGGTATGCCTTTTCTTTGAGTTTTTGCAGTGTTGTGCATTTGTTGGTGCAACCTTTTCTAGCAGACAACAGATTCTCACATCCAGAGTCTCCTTTGGTAAAAGCAGGGGAGGCAGCATCTGTGCATACTGGAAAGGTTTGAGCTGAGTTTTGGGATTTTTTTTTTTTTTTTTTTTGGTTTTGCGAGGACAGGGTTTCTCTGTGTACCTTTGCGCCTTTCCTGGAACTCGCTTTGGAGACCAGGCTGGCCTCGAACTCACAGAGATCTGCCCTGGCTCTGCCTCCCGAGTGCTGGGATTAAAGGTGTGCGCCACCACCGCCCGGCGAGCTTTGGGATTTTTGATAACGAATCTTGCCTGTCAATTGGGTGGGGCTAAGAAGTTCTGAGACAGGGAAGCAAGGTTTTAGGTATCATGTGAGGGGTTCCAAAGGAGATTAAGGGGGGTAGACCTGAGACCACCCAATAGCATCAGGGCCAGGATGGGACAAAAGGGGGGAGTTGTGGGAAGCCCACTGATGCAAGTATTCTCTCTCTCTCTCTCTCTCTCTCTCTCCTCTCTCTCTCTCTCTCTCTCTCTCTCTCTTCTCTCTCTCTGTCTCTCTCTTTCTCTCTCTCTTTCTCTCTCTGTCTCTCTCCTCTCTTTCTCTCTCTCTCTTTCTCCTCTCTCTCTCTCTTCTCTTCTCTCTCTCTCTCTCTCTCTCTCTCTCTCTCTCTCTCTCTCTCTCTCTCTCTCTCTCTCTCTCTCTCTCTCTCTCTCTCTCTCTCTCTCTCTCTCTCTCTCTCTGTTTCATGGCTGCAGTGAGGTGAGCAATAAGTCGCTGTCAGGTATTTATCATGGTGATGGAAAGTCAAACACAAGGTCCCAAAGTAGGAGCTTCCTCTACATTGTTCAGGAAGTGTAAGAGCTATCCAAGCCTACATATTTATTCCGCAGTGTCTTCTCTGAAAAAAAAAAAATCAGTGAAATGGTTATGAATCTAGATATAATGCTAGTGTTCAAAGGAAGAGGGTTGGGATATAGCTCAGTATTTGAGCATTTGCCTAGCTAGCGTAAGCAAGGCTGGGGTTTTGCCAGTACCAAAATAAATACAATTTTAAGATGGGATGGGGGAGGTTACCTTTTTCTAACTGTTTGGCTCCTTCATCGAATAATACAGTCCTAGATACTTTGTGCTTTCACGCTGGCTTTTGGGTTCCCGTTGTCTGCAGCAAACAGCCACAGTCTAAGAGAGAACACAAGGGGGGTCAGCCTTCGTCTCAGCTTTTCAGCAGCGCAGACCGCCCTACTTCCGGGGAACATTACCTCTCTGCCTTCATCGTCTGATCGCTTCACACCTTTTCCTTCAAAATAAGCTCTTCCAAGGTTGTAAGCAGCGGCGAATTTTAAGTGTATTGTTTGGGGGCATGTAGAATCAAGAATTTTCTTCATATATTTCACTCCTTTTTCCTTCCACAAAAGAAACACAAACAAACAAACAAACACAATACTAGTCTTTAGTTTAGCTCAAACTGAATGTCTTTCTTCCTATGGTGTACAGTGTTCAAGTCTACCACGTGTGTAAAAATCACAGATCTATGCTTAGGACGATGTTTGCTCTAGATTTTCAGGGATAAAGACAAGGAAGGAAAGGTTGTATAGAAGTATATGTTGATCAGACATTCCCGGGAGCTGCGAAATGAATGTCTTACATTACCTTCTCTCAAGCTCACGTTCACTGTGTGTGCTCATTAGTAACAAATGTCCAAGATGCCGATCTTTGTGTGGCATATGTACACACAGTTGGTATTCTAACAATGAGTGAAAAAACATCTCCCCTGGGAAAGGGGAGGTTTTGTGAATAAGCCTGATAACCCAAGCTTGATCCCTGGAACCCACATAGTGGAAAAAGAGTTCTCCTCTGACCCCTACATGTGTGATGCTGTGTGTGTGTGTGTGTGTGTGTGTGTGTGTGTGTGTGTGTGTGTGTGTGTGTTGCCCTTGCAGAGGACTCTAGTTTGATTCTCAGCACCCAAGTTGGTGGCTCACAATCACCTATAACTTAGGCTCCAGGATATCCATTGCTCCCTTCCGACCTCCATAGGCACCTGTACTTACATGTGCGTGCAAGTGAGTGTGCACACACATACACACTGCACAATTTAGAATCTTTTTTTAAATGTCAAAATAGAAAAGCATCACAAGGATATTCTCATAGAAAGCTACCCAAAGGTCACCCAAGGTGCCAGCTCCTCAGTCAATTTCATTTGGCTCAGAATCTGCCCCCTAAGCTTTTCCAGTCTAGAAACTGTGTCCATTCCATGACCTTACTAGTCTTCAGAAATGACTCCTGTTAGCTAAATCAAGTTAGCAGATTCCTGGCTATGGGTAGCTTCCTTTCTGATGTGTATACCACAGTGTCAAGGCATTTCTGGGTCTCCAAAGTAAAAACATTTATCTGCTTTTCTCTCTTTCATTTCTTTGTTGTTATTTAAGTCTCTGCTTGAACGTAACTCCTGAATGGCGTTCTATAATCCCAGCGTCAACCAATGCCTGCCATTTCAAACCCTCCCCATAGCCAAGTTTGTTCTCTGGGCTTGAGTGCTAATCCTGAGGGCAGGAGGACTTAGCAGGCAGTCTGAAGCTAAGGCCACTGATGGCCAGAGCTGAACTCAGCACCTGCCTGGATCCTTGAGTTTAGTCAGGCTGAACTCAGCATCAGAGGTCTGTCTGGACCCTTGAGTTTAGTCGGTAACATCTACTGTCACAGCTGGATCATTTTGGAGGCCACAGAAAACACGTCTCCAAGTTATCTGTTCTCCCACATATTCTTAATTCCACAATGGCCTTTGGGTCTCCTCCTCTGCTCCTGTTGCTCTCCCAACTAAAACTGTCTAGCTGGCAATAAAATCCCCACATTCTCCTTCCTCCACTTCTTTTACTTCCCTGCCTAAACTCCGTGGCCCCGTGAAGTCCTCTGTAGTGTAGGTAATACACTGACTCTCCCAATATACTGTAATATCGACTATATTGTAAGACTCGAAGACGGAGCTGGCTTTTCACTTTCTAACATTGTCTCATCTCCACCCTGTGTGTAAGAAGATAGAGGAACTACTTTATAGTTCACAGAAGAACCCACCACTTTTCTAGTCCTACCGTTTTCCTGGTCGCTGGTCAGCCCCAATACCTGCAGGAAGGCTTTGGCTCTAGGGTTAGGTTTCTTAGTGTCATTCCATCGTTTGATCTGACTTAGTGACCAAGGGAAAAGAGAACTAACTCTCTCTCTCTCTCTCTCTCTCTCTCTCTCTCTCTCTCTCTCTCTCTCTCTCTCTGTGTGTGTGTGTGTGTGTGTGTGTGTGTGTGTGTGTGTGTGTGTGTGTATGTGTGTGTGTGTGTGTGTGTGTGTGTGTGTGTGTGTGTGTGTGTGTGTGTGTGTGTATGTGTGAGTACGGGTGCCTGTGGAGGTGAGAAGAGCACATAGGATACCTGGGAGATGGAGTTACAGGTTGTCGTGAGCCACCAGCGTGGGTGCTGAGACTCAAACTCCAGGCTTCTGCAAGAGCGGAAGTGCCAGTTACTGCTGAGCCCTTCCTCCAGCTCCTGGTGGAGCTTTTGACATAAAACTCTTGGGAACTGTTTACAGGTGTACAGGACACAGCTGATTTGTATTTTAGAAAGATGACCTCGGTGGTTGTAAAAATGACGAAGAGGTTAGAGATGTGCTTTATATTATAATCCAGGTGAAGGTCAACTTGGGTCTGAAGAAACAGAATGGAGGGGATAAAGGCCTGGGGCAGATATGAAGGATATTTCAAAGACAGTATGAGCAGATGATTACAGAAAATAATTTGCTTCTGTTTGTAAAAAGATTTTGCTTTTATTATGCTTTTAACTCTAAAAGGCTATGTTTTAGGGAAAGAGTAAACACGATTTTTAAAAATGGGTTTACCATGAATAGATAAGGCATTTCATGGAATTTTTTAGCACACACTGAAACCATGATGGCTTCTTTCATTTAACCTATCAAAGTAGTATGTTGTATTTGCAGGTTCCCTTATGTTGAACTATTCAACTTCTGACTAAAACTCTAGGCTATGATATATATATATTATTCTCTTCCTGCATTACTGAGTCCATTTGTAAGAAGGGAAAACATTTTACCAGAGTAGCAGGTGGCATGGTAATTTTTCTCAAAAGATAGGCTCTATCTCTAGTAAAATTCCTTGAAAACTCACTGGAAGTAAGATCTTGGTAACAGTGTCAGCATGGGACCACAAGGTCAGCTACTCCCTGAGTCTACTAGAGATCTGATAGCTGGGCATATTGCAGTGACGGAAACAGACACACCTCCTGATTTGTAAAGCTTGCCTTCCAGTGAGGGATAAATAGGTTAAACAGAAAACAAATCATCAAGTAGCCACTATAACTATGAGGAAATAAAGGACGTGATTTCACAACCAGAGCCAACTTCGAAGAAGGAAACATCCAATCAACTACCAGGATTAACAGAAGGTAAATGCAAGGGTGACAATGGTACTCCACGGGAGAAAATGGGACCAACTTACTTGTCTTCCAGAGGAAGAGAAAACAAAAAGAGAACACAGGAAAGAGGCAAGAAGGGGCAGAAAGGAGTCGAGAAGGTCTTTCAGAATCATGAGAGCTCATTTAGGAAGCCATCCTTCATGGGTGACAACAGACACAAACGAGCAGCCGATTAAAGTTGGTAGTCAATTATTTCTTTAGTAACTTTCAATTGGTCTCTTTCTTTGATAAATTCTTTCTGGTTAGATGTGACTATTTCAAAGATTTTAGAAAGACCGGGCTGTGGCTATTAACCCACCATTGCGGTAATTTTCTTAGTACTTAGTTCTAAATCTCATATTAGATGATAATAACTCTTGTGACGGTTGAGTCTCGATGTGATTTAAATGTAAACAGGGGGGCACTGAGTTAGGAAGCACAGATAAAAATAAAACCAGCACTCGGAAAGGCTTTTCCTTTCAGAGAAAGACAGGGAAAGTCGCATGGTGTGGATGTATGATGAATACGTTATGGTATCAGCTTGCCTCATGGAGGGACGGCTACCTCCCCCATAATTCCTCTGTTAGGTCTTCTATTCTTCTCATTCTTAGTTAATTTTAGTAGCCAACTAACTGAGATCTTATTATCGCAATCCCAATAAATACCAAAGAAGCACAAGACGGCAATAGAGTGAACATCAGAACTGGTCTTGAGACTTTGAACCACCTTTTTGTATCTTATTTTATATTTATATTGTTATATTATATTTTGTATTATATTTTTAATCTTAGTGTGCATATGTATGTATAGCTGTGTGCACGTATGCATGTGGAGGGTGAGCACGTGTCGTGGTGTGTGTGTGTGGAAGTCAAAAGACAATATTTTGGGAGAATCAGTTCTCTCCTTCCACCACGTGGGTCCCAGGGAGTGAACTCTGACCCTGCAGTTTGGCGGCAAGCACCATTACCCCCTGAGCCATCTCACACGGATACACTCTGGTGCCCTGATAACATTCTCTAAAAGCACATTGGATTTTGAAATAATTCAATGTTGCTATAAAGATAATAATAATAAGGAAACCAGCTGCATAAGGTATAACGGATTCTTTCTTCCCTCTCTTGGACATGATGTCATTTAATAAACCCAACAAATCAAGGGAGAACAGAATCACTTGAGACGGCCTTGTTTTGCCAGATGTTAAAATGTCTGAATGAATTAGTCAGTTCCTAGGTGTAATAGTTTCACAGTTATCAACTCTTCATCTTCCTGGTGATTAATCTTGTTGAAAACGTTTCTTAGAGTGGGTTTTAATACCATTCCCTAAAAGCTGTTTTATTATTTGATGCTCACAAAAGATTGATGGAATGAGGATGTCTATTTACATTCCCGACCTTAATTGTTTCACTTCGTTCATTCTGCAGAGCTGGGAACAGGATGAACACATCACACAGGCCCACAGCTCCGCCCTGAGCTAAACTTCCAGCCCTTGACAGGTCACTGGTGTGACCTATACCATAGGCTTCCGTGGGCAGATGAAATGGACAGTGCCTCAGAGAGTAGTTAGGGTGATCCACGAAGACAGAGTCCAGCTTGAGCCCAGGCTCCTGTGTATGTATGGCGGGCTAGTAACCATATGATGGTTACCATATGAATAAGCGGCTTATTCATCTCCAACACTGTGATGGGCAACTGTTGGCTACCCACACTTTCTGCGATGATTTTAGTTCATAGGCTGACTTGAGTGGAGAAGCTGGATTTCAGCTGCCAAAGGATGCCATTGCTTTGTCTGTCTAAACGACGTTCATCCCCTCATGGCTTTTTTTTTTTTAATTGGAAAGGTTCAGTCTGTGTCGCCTGTTTGATGAAAACCTCCCTGACTGCTCCTTTGTGTCTGGCACAGGTGTGTATCTTAGTCCATAATGTTTAGCTTCACAAAGAGCCTTCCTCAGACAACCAGTCCCTTTCCTTCTCATCTTTGATTATCCAGTGCTTTGGACTGTTTTGACATCATCTGTAATGTTGAGGCATTGAAGACTGAGTAAATAATACATCAATGGAATCAGTCTGTACAGTTCACAAGTACTGAGTCCAGCACTCACAGGCTGTGTAGTAAGTGCTCCTGGCCCAGGGAGTGGGGATGGCTCTTTCAAACTTTGTTTATGTCATTCAAGGAAATTTTGTTTTGTTTTATTTTGTTTTAAGATATACATACTTACAAACAGACAGACAGACAGACAGACACAAGTGTTGTTCCTGAATGTATTTCTACGTATCATATGCATGCCTAGTGCACAGAGAGACAGACAGACAGACACAGAGAGAGACAGACAGATAGACACACACACACACACACACACACACACACACACACACACACACACACACACAGGTGTTGTTCCTGAATGTATTTCTACATACCATATGCATGCCTAGTGCCCTCAGAAGCAAGAAGAGGGCATCGGATCCCTTGAAACTACAGTCTCAGACAGTTGTCAGCTGCCATGGGAGGTGCTGGGAATTGAACCCATGGCCTCTGGAAGAGCAACCAGTGCTCTTAGCCGCTGAGTTATCTCTCCAGCCCCTGTTTGTCTTTTAAAAATTATTTTAAGTCATGTGTATATGTGGGGGTGGGGTGGGGCAGTGTGTGTATGGTCACATATGATGTGGTGCCCAAGGAGTTCAGAACAGAGCTGGAGGTACAGGTGGTTGTGAGATGCCCAACCTGGGTGATGCCCAGCCTGGGTGCTGGTAGCTGGACCTGGGTCCTCTGTCTAGATGCTCTTAATCACTTAGACATCACTCCAGTCCTCTTTCAAGGGCAATTTTAAGGATGATTATAACCTCTATGAAGGATACTAGTGCACAAAGAAACCCTACTGTTTCAGGTATTAGGACCTATTTGTATTCTAATTGCTATATTTGTAGATGTCTTAGATGTTGAATAAAGGGACAGAGACTTGCATGTTAAACATTTACAGGGTGCTGGGTGATTTGCTTTATGCACTTCAGAATGCGGTTTTGGTATGATAATCTTTTAAATGTACAGAAGATGTTAGCTACGGTGGGGCTGGATATACATACTTTGGGAGAGCAGACAGATTAAGGCTGAAGTCTTATGTTCTTCAACACTGAGAAAAGTAGCTTGAAGAGATGACTGAGCAAAGACAGATGAGAAGTACTTCATTATAAACATGTGGTGGTGACAGAAAGAGACGTGGACATCCACATTTCAGGTCTTAAGAGACCAGCGTTAAGAAGAGTGAGGTCAGTTGGGTTTGCTTTGGAGGAAGGGCATTGCAGTCATGGATCCCACTAAACTTTAAACAAGTAGTTAATGTAAAATATCCTGTATTTAATGCAAATAATCCTCTTATCTACCATCCATCCATTCATTTCATTATATGATAAAAAGAGTGAAAAATAAAAGAAAATTTAGGCATCAAAGTACAGGCTCCATTGATAGCTTTATACAAGATTGAAAGAGAAGAAAATGATGAATGGATGTTGGTATGCCCGATGTTTTTATATGTTATCCTTCAGTCTGTTAACAACTGTGTTAGTTAGGCTAATGACTTTTATTTCATAAATGTACATAACAATGAAATTTACATAAAATATTCAATTGGTAATGTCTTCTTAAAATTTTTTGTATTGACAAAGGATCCAATGCTAGGCCCAGATTTAGCTCAAATGTAGACTATGGTCAGTTATCAAGGTCAGCTGTGGCCAAGGGAGAGGGGAGATGGCAGATATCTCTCCAGGGTTATTTATTCTTATCTTAAAAGAGTTCAGAAAGATTAAGTAATATTCACAAGACCAGACTGCAAGTGGTTTAAGCCAAGGTTTGGGGAAGCCGATATTAAAAAAACCCATTTGTTGGGGTTGGGGATTTAGCTCAGTGGTAGAGCGCTTGCTTAGCAAGAGCAAGGTCCTGGGTTCGGTCCTCAGCTCTGGGAAAAAAAAAAATTGCATTTAGAATTTGGAATTTTAGACCCTTATGGATAGGACAGATTTGCTCGTGAACACAGAAAGCTTTATCTAAGTAACCTTGAAAATTAAAAACTTATTGTTATTTGGGTAGCATGTGAAATTTATTTATACAGTGAGAAAAAGCAATTGGAATGAGAAAGTCATATTATAATAATGCTCTCCAAAACTCAGTTTTTTTTTGTTTTTTTTTTTTGGTTTTTCGAGACAGGGTTTCTCTGTGTAGCTTTGCGCCTTTCCTGGGACTCACTTGGTAACCCAGGCTGGCCTCAAACTCACAGAGATCCGCCTGCCTCTGCCTCCCGAGTGCTGGGATTAAAGGCGTGCACCACCACCGCCCGGCAAAACTCAGTTTATTTACCCTTGGTCTTCAATAAGATAACATATATAAGGCCTAAAATTATTACTGATGAGTAATTGGTTATGGTGCAGGTATTAGAGTGATAATGTAGATTATGTTCATTAACAAGGAAGGACATTCAAAATTATTATGGTAAAAAAAAATATCACAGATTGGTATACATTGTATGGTCTTTTTTTCCCAAAGTGTTTATGTATATAAATAAATCTATGTGTGATTGTGTGTGTAGACACACATACTCATGCAATACAAATACACAGTTATTCTTTGACATCCTCAGTGACTGGTTTCAAGACCTCCATGCACACAAAAGTCATGGATGCTCAGGTTCCTTATACAAAGTGGCGTAGTGTTTGCATATAACCAAGATACATCCTGTCACATATTTTGTTATGGATAGATTGCTTATAAAAATACACACAGAAAATTTTAGTATAGGACTGTACTATCCATTCCATTTTAATGTTTTAATTTTTACTATTTTTTAAATTAAAAATTTAGTGAGTGTATACACATGCCATGGTGCACGTGTGGAGGCGAGAAGACAACTTTTGCAACTTAATTCTCTTCTTTTACCTTGAGGTCCAGGAATCGAACTTAGGTTGTCTGGCTTGCTCAGTGAGTACTTCTACCTACTTAACCATTTTGCTGACTCTATCATTTTTTAACCTAAGAATTTTGGGTGTCCTTTGTCAATAAACATAATCTATGTCATATTAATACCTGCATCATAATTGTGTACCAATAATAAGTATTCACATTTGATGGTAGAATTTGAAGTGATTCAAATTTTATTTTCTAAATCTTATCCATATTTGTATAGCTTTGCAATCATTTTTTTAAAAAATAAGGGAAAATATTTTCAACAGCATGTTGAGAGCTAATGATAGCAAGGAACATTTTTCTGTGTGTGGTGAATTATAGAAGCTTATAAATGACCCTTAAAGACTCACATTGTGCAACTGAGAAAATCTATAGCAAATTGACCATGTAATTTCTCAGACAAGGTTATCAAAATCTTTCCCCACAAGTGCCTATTTCTGACTTTGGCCCCTCAAAATTGAAAACTATAGACATCTGTACTATTTGTACAGTGTATAAGAATTCTTTTATGTAAATTTTATGTGAAATTTCTAAGGTGAGAGTTCATGGGATGTCTATAATCTTTTCAGGAAACATTTCAACATATAGAAGGGCACATTGTTAATCATGAGAACTATGTTCAGAAATTGAATCTGAGCTCTTGCCTGTCCCTAGACCACAACAAAGGAAATTCAGTTGTTGTAGAATATTATTTTAAGGTGTGTTACTTTTGTTTATGCTTTGGAACATTTGCTTTAACGATGCAAAGATGTGCTGCATTCTTTTTGGTTGCATTTGTTGAACTCTGTGAAGCTGTGTTACTGTGCCTGTCTAAAACACCTGATGGTCTAATAAAGAGCTGGACGGTCATTAGTGAGGCAGGAGAAAGGACAGGTGGGGCTGGCATGCAGAGAGAATAAAAGCAAGAGAAGGAAAAGCAAGAGAGATCAGAGTGAGAAAAGAAGGGGCCAGCCACCCATCCACACAGCCACCCAGACAGCCATGGAGTAAGAGTAAAAGTAAAATATACAGAAAAAAGGAAAAGACCCAGAGGCAAAAGGCAGATGGGATAATTGTTAAGAAAAGCTGGCAAGAAACAAGCCAAGCCAAGGCCGGGCATGTATAAGTAAGAATAAGCCTCTGTGTGTATTTATTTGAGAGCTGGGTGGTGGGGCCCTCAAAGGAGAAAAGAGCCGAAAGAATAAAAAACAGCCAACTACACGCAGTGGTAAACTATGTTTTCCAGGAGAGATGGAATGGTCCTAAGTGGCACCCAATGAATTAGAAGTGGCAGTGCATATTTATTTCACTAGACTTGCTCACCGTGGGAACAAAGATATAGTGGCACCTTCAACATGGAGGTCTTTCTTGAGAATAAGTCCTTGTGTTCATATGGAGGAGGAAATCACTAGAAATATCAAGCATTTCTGTAGTCGTCGGGGGATGGTCATTTAAGTTCAAGTACAAAGAAGCTCACTGTTTCTGACATTTGAATCTAATTATGACAAAAAGCTGTTAGCTTAGATTCGGAGCTGAAGGAGGATGGAGTGGAAAGGGACCCAAAGAATTTACCTTTGCCTTTTATATATGTCTACAGTGACATCATTGTTCATTAAAATACTAAAAATTAAATATTAAGGTGTAAAAATGGAGACACATTGTTAAAACACAAACATGGCATCAAATACTCCATTGCAGTGAACTCCTAAAGACTACGAACTAAACAATAACTTACGGCATTTGGGACGGTCCCCAACCCGTCATAATACATCACTCCTAGCTGATAAATTGCTTGATGATCATTCTCCTGGATTTCTTCAAACTGGGCCAAGGCTTCTTCATACCAGCCCTGAAAGCCCCAAAGAATATTTCATTTTATTATGTGTTTAAAGTAACTCTGACCTGAAGCATCGAATGGTCATTTGTGCCTAAGGATACACAGTTAGCAGGTGATGTGCCATATTGGAACCGCTCAAACCCAGAAGACATTGTCTTAAGACATCTGTGCCATCTCAGACAGGCTGAGGACACTGGCGCCTCGGAAGATATTTAGAGTAAATGAAGGTACCAGCATCAAAGGGTAAGAGAGATGGGAAGATGTGAACTAATGATTTCATAAGTACTCAAAGAATCATGAGGGACTGGGGACAGTTCCTTGGGGTCTGATGAAAAACCAAAGCTCTAGTACTGAAGCTGATAAGATAGCACACAGAATTTCTCTTAGGCCTACCTACCAAGCTATCCCACTATAACGTGACTCAGTAAGGAAATGGCCTCCTCATGATGCATAAAATACATGAAAAGCTACTTTTCATATCAAATAATCAGGGAATTCAATTACTATTAATATGCAAATAGCTTATGAATGATACATATTGTGAAAAAAACCATAAAACGTATGTTTTCAACTTACAGTGTGAAAATGGATCTTTCAAAATGATTCCTTTAGAATAACTTCAGATAGCCCCTTAATCTTACATCTGTGTGCCCCACATAAAGCCTCAAAACCATAGCCTATGTGATTTCACAGAATTTCTCAGGCATAACAGTCTAAGAAACTCACTTGAAAGTTTGCCGTGACCATCTGCTGCCTCTACCTTTTGTGTGACACTGGGGGTGGGACCCAAGGCCTTAACTACTCTATGTAATTACTCCACTAATACCAAGTAACCCCAACAATTAAGTCCTAACAATACAATTATACAAAATAAAAAAAAGACCAAAAATGGTACCTCTTCAAAATAGAGTTGACCTCTTAGAAAATACGCCATAGCATCCCCTCTTTTTATTCTTTCTTTTAGGAACTGCAATGCTGTATCCACCAAATTAGCATGGCGGTAATAATCTGATTCGGAAAGGTAAAAATTGCATTAACTGTATAATGTGAACATTCTCTCTTAAAGCCATATGTAACGGAGGATTCATTAGATGCTACTAATACAGTTTTCTTTCAACTTCTAGTTCCTAAAACTTAGCTCCAAGAAAGAATATGACCTAACTAAAGTCATGATCACAGCACCTAATATAACACCTTATATAATCAATAAATGCTTATTGAGTTTGGGACTACTGTTCATTGCTAGCTAGGCACTCGAATGCAGTCTCTGCATCCATTGGGCAAAGCTGGCTTGTGGGTGAGTTAAATGCTTAGCTTGAGCCATACTTAGAAGGTACTAATCAAATGAGCTGACCATCTCCACTTTAGTTGTTAAAGCCTATATAAAAATAGCTTTAAATATCTATTTGCAGTAAAGCACTATGTTGCATTCTCTGAGGGAAGCAACACCCAGCTTCTCTTTTTTAGAAGCTATCCTTAAGTCCTGAGGGTAAAATCATAATGAGGCTTGAATTGTGGGACACCTCCAGGGTCAGCTTGCTGTCTGAGTTAAGAAGGTCACCAACCTCCAGGAAAGCCAGAAAGTAATATAATAATAATATCTTGGAAACCAATGATAAGCCTTTCTTTTCTTGTTCATTCTAGCATACACGGAATTTCAGTAAAAATATTATTCAAGCAAAGATTTAACATTCATATTTTATACCAGGCTTTTCCTTCTTCCATTGGAAGAATTTCTGGTTTTTAGCAGCATATTGAGATAGAGAGAAAGGGTTTTTGGGCAACTTTTCACTGGTGAGTTTCATCCTGTCTCCACAGCGTGGATCCTGTAAACAAGGAGAACACACATGATGATTAAAACCCCTTCTTCCATAAAAGCACAAAGGGAGACTTCACTCTTGGTTGGAAGCCACTCTCAAGGCATCTGCCCCACATTGCCAGGCCGCAGGACCCTGAGTGAGCAGACATTCCTGTCTGAGGGTGAGTTCACAGGCATATCCGTGAGCCTTGTCATTCACAACTGCTGCCACCTAGTGGCAACAGGGGACACTGCTCACCGACATGGTTCCTGTCACTAGGGACTTCCTGTGGCTTTGTAACTGAAGCTTATGGGAGTAATCCATTTTGAATGGAAGCATTCGTCTGTTTTACCTGGGAATACACTGTATTTTAGCTGTGTTGCTCAGTTTTCTCTTCCGGTCTGTATTGGATTGCCATGTTACCAGATGGATCACCGCTGTATGGTGAATCAGAGCCTTCATATGAAAAGTAGGGGCCACCTCATTGGGGATGAACGAGTCCAGGTTGGCCTAGGCTGAGGGGAGTGGGGACAGCAAACTCTGTTGTTGCTATGCTTTTTATTCTTTCTTTCTTTTTTTTGCTCTTTGACATTCTACTGTTTCAACTTGCTTCCACCAATCAGGAGCCAGCTCCCAGGAGAGGTCTCTGATTGGTGGTCTACCGAAGATCTCAAGAGAAACTTGGTGTGATTGGAAACCTGTATTTATGTACTCACAGGATACCATGTTAGGCAACAAGCTGCTTGATTAGATGAGAGTGGGACTCAAAAGAAGGAGAAATGGTTTACTAAGTTAGCAACAACAACAACCTCACTGAAATGTCTGTACGTGGGAGCTAATTTCTTCATCTGTAGTTTGAAGTAAAGGATCTTAAAGTGTCCTTTCCTTGATATACAAGTTAATGGGCCTAATGTCTTCAATTCCAGCACTCAAGAGGCTGAGCCAGACAGATCTCTGTGAGTTCAAGGCCAGCCTAGTCTACATAATGAGACCCTGTCCCAAAACCAACCGACTAACCAACCACCAAACCAGCAAGCAAACAAACATAGTTATTGGTTACAGGACAGGAGAGACGGCTCAGCAATTAAGAACACCAGGGTTTAATTCCCAACCAACCACATGGCATCTCACAACTGTTTATAACCCTAGTTCCTTCCAGGGGATCAGATGCCTTCTTTTGGTTTATACAGGTACTGGGCACATGTGTAGTGCACATACATACATGCAGGCAAAACACTCATAACACATAAAATAAAAACTAATTAATTAAAAAAAACAAACAAACAAAGTACATCCAGGGGATCTGAGTGTGGTTCCCTGAGCCCACTTTGGGTGGGTCATTCCCACTTGTAGTTCCAGCTGCAGGGGAGGACCACCCTCTTCAGGCCTCTGCTGTCATCTGCTCACGAGTGACAGATACACAGAAAAATAAAGATAAATCTTAAAAAAAATAAAGTAATTAGATTATGTGTATTTCAAAATCTAAGTTCCCACTAAAGATTGTGAAATTCCCAAATGAGCAACACAACATGTGTAAGGTATTTAGAAGAAAATGATCCCAAGAGAAGGACATCAACCTGTCAACCACCCCGCAGAAAACTGGATGACAGGTTTTTATTTCACCGAAGACATTAACACCATATGCTATTATTTCCAAAAACGGTTTAGAGCAGCAGCTCTCAACCTCCCTAATGCTGGGACCCTTTAACACAGTTCCTCGTGCTGTGGTGACCTCCAACCATAAAATTATTTTCATTGCTACTTCCTAACTGTAATTTTGCTACGGTTACGAATCATAATGTAAATCTCTGAGATGCAGGATATCCGATATTTAACTCCCAAAGGGGTCGCGACCCAGAGATTGACATCGACTGGTTTAGAGAACCCTTGGCAAGTCCAAGAAAGGCACTAGAAATAAAAGAAAGCACAAACAATACCGTACCTCATTTAAATTCACATTGTTGTCCTCGACAATAGGGCTGCACATGGTTTCTGTTGTTTTAGTGGCTTAAGAATTATTTCAGAGGACCTGAAAAACATCTGAGAAAAGGATTCATTCTGCTCCTACTAAATGTGAGGGTTTTTTGTTGTTGTTTGGTTTTTGTTTTTTAAAGTTCTGACTCCTATAAAACTTGAGGAAATGGGGATCATTTTGAGCTCTGTTGAAAGGAGGGAGGTGATTCACCTAATATCAAAGTTGTTGGTTGGCAAGGGCACCCTACCCACCCACATATTATTTTGCTTAACTCTCTCTCTCTTTCTCCTCAAAAAAAAAAAAAAAAAAAAGCGAATGTAATGTTTACGTGTGTTAGAAATGTGGGCCCACCACTTTAAGAAGCTGATAGTTTGAGAAACTGGCCCTGCAGTCTGTAGAAATCAGTGCTCCTGTTAATCCCACCCATCAAGAATAAGACCACCACCACAGTTTAAAGCCAAGGATGAAGCAAGCTTTAATTAAACACTGCCCAGGTGGATGGGCCCTGGCCAGGTCCATACCCAGGTTCCCAGGAAACGGCCCAGAATCAAATATGGCAAGGACTTAAGAAGGAAAACCCATAATTCACTGCGTTTCCCATCAGGTCCGATCAGGAACAAGCATGTATCCTGACATATTTCCTGCCTAGGTAACTCCCACCCACATGTGATCAAGCACATCTGGTGCAGATGGGTCAAACAAACTTGTTTAGAGGAGTGAAAACATGTGACTTGTTATCTCCCATAAACAATAGCCTCCAGCATTTTAGGAACTATCTGTCCTCGGGCAAGGGGTTTGCAGATCAGAGGCATTTTTGTTTTATAGATCTCTAAGGCACAGTAATTAAAACTTAAAATGTAACTTTGGCTCGCACAGCTACATCCTCTCAAGTTTGTACCCTGGACACGGAGAACTGACGACCCATGCTGCGAACACATATATCTTGGAGGAGAAAAGCAAGCCTTGCTCTGTGTTCCCTAATTTTGACTTTAATCTAACTTTCCTAATGTTCACATAATACCTATAATTGCTCTCCCACCCCTAGACCTGATCATGGATGGTCCCCGAAGTCATGAGGCTGTCTCTAACAAAAGCCAATTTCTGAGTGGTAATTTCCACTCTGATTTTTAACAGGCAGGACTGCTAGAGGAGGTAATTCAAATTTAGTGCTTTCAAGATGAGAGGCGAGAGCTAAGAAAAGATTTTAAATTTGAGAGTCTGTATTCATTCTGCCAAATTTTGACATTCAGCATAAAATCATCTGAAGCTGAACAGCTGTGTGCATACTATGTCGTGAACTTAGACCATCCTGGGATAGAAACTGTGAGCATTCATTGATAACATATAATCAGAAAAGAACCTGTGCCTGGGATAGAAACTGTGAGCATTCATTGATAACATATAATCAGAAAAAAACATGTGCTTTTGAATTTTTTATTATGTGTGTTTATGTGTGTGTGTGTGTGTGTGTGTGTGTGTGTGTGTGTGTGTGTGTGTGCGCATGAGCTCATAAGTCAGAGATCAGGCTGCAGGACTCAGTTATCCCCTTTCTTCCATGTGGCTCCTGGGATTAAACTCAGGTGCTAAAGGCTTGGCACTCTGAGCGATTTTACTCACTGAGTATCCCTGTAACCAGAACCTGTGACTTGGTGAGGAAGCGTGGGTGAAGCAGACGACATTCCCTCCTCAGGTGAGGATCTGAGTGTCCCTATGCCTTCGAAATCAGCTGCCCCGAAAGCTGACAACAGCTCACATCACCCCTTTCTAAACATTTGTCCCTAGCCAGTCATGAATCCAGCAGACAATCCACTAGACCATTGTCCTATTAAAAGAGGCAATCCAGCTAGGCTGTGGTAGTACACATCTTTAACCCCAGCACTCAGGAGGCAGAGGCAGGCGAATCTCTGAGTTTGAGGCCAGCCTGGTCTACAGAGTGAGATCCAGGACAGCCAGTGCTACAGAGAACTGAATGGGGGCAGGGAGAGGCAATCCATGGAGGGTGCCCCTGCACATTCTTGCTGAATGTATGAAGAACTCGAGATGCTATGTGCTCTTCCTTGAGCCTTTCTCTGGGGCCTGTTTTCAGTTAGTAACCTCCAAGGATAAGGTAATGTGTTGTTGGGAGTTTCTACTCTTTTGGGGGGCTGCCACCCAGCTCCCAAATAAATCACACATGGAGGCTTATTCTTAATTATGAATGCCCGGCCTTAGCTTGGCTTGTTTCTAGTCAGCTTTCTTTAACTTAAAATTATCCCCTCTACCTTTTGCCTTTGGACTTTTCCTTTTCTATTCCTGTATACCTTTCTTTGTTTCTTACTCTGTGGCTTGCTGTGTAGCTGGGTGGCTGGCCCCTAGAGTCCTCTCCTTCTCTGGCTCCTCTCCTTCTTTCTCCCAGATTTTTCCTTCTATATATTCTCTCTGCCTGCCAGTCCCACCTATCCTTTCTGCTGTCTCACTATTGGCCATTCAGCTTTTTATTAGGCCATCAGGTGTTTTAGACAGGCACAGTAACACAGCTTCAGAGTTACACAAATGCAACATAAACAGAAGTAACACACCTTAAAATAATATTCTACAACAGTAATGCGTCCCCACAGACAAAGGGAGGGCTTGCTTTCCTCACAGGTATTGAATTGCTCAAGGTTAGTATGCCTTTTTCATAATGAGTCTTCTGTGTATACCAAGCATCCCAGCTGGTTGTGCCTTTTGAGACACCTCTGTGAGAACTGGGGGATGGGGTGGGCTGTAGAACTGGTCCAGATATCATGCCATCAACACTAGCTGCTGTGTTTTCAATGAGCAGTAGGGTCATCTATCTCTGACCCAGGAGTCTTGTCTTCTGCCAGTATCCATGAGACAAGCTAGTAACAGTCATATATCAACCGAAAGCATAATCTATCCGTATGTGAGAGAAAGAGAAAACCATTGTCATTGATTTGTGCCAAGATGTTCGTTATTGCCAAGACAAGATTGAAGCAGGCAGTGATTCTCCTTTTCTTTCCTTCCCAGGAAGGCCCATTTGTTTACTTAAAATGAAAGCACTTGCTCCCATGTCCTTCATTTTGGGTGTGGCAAGTTTACATCATTCTCTGAATGAGAAGGAAAAGGTAGAAGTAAAGGTAATATGCCTATTACAACCTGCTAGGTTATGGTAAGTATTCACTGAGAACCAAGTAGCGTTTCCTTTATTTTTCTCCAATTTACCTTGTATTCTGTGAGCATTGAAACCAATGAAGAAAGATGACATATTCAAAACCTTAACACCAACTGCAAAAATAGGATTTGCATGCTTCATCCATCCTGTCTTTCATCCAGCCATTTCCTGTTGGGAAACCTTTGTTGGCCAGAGATGGCTGCCAAGTCCTTTTGTGTGTGTTCAGTATTGGGTGTGTCCAAAGTGTGAGTCTAAAAGACCCAGACAAAAGTGATGGAAAAGTTTTAACTGTAGACGGAAAGACTGTGGGTCAGTTCTCAGAAAGAGACTTGTGTCCCTCAAAGAGAGTCCTTTTTATGAAGAAGTTTCCTGGCCTTGCCTCCAGGGCCATTTGAGTTGGGTCATATTTGAATAGAGTTCAAGGGCCTCACTATTCAGAGGTAGTAGGTTTTATAACACTACTTTCCATCCCGAAACTGGCCATGGAGATGAGGCACCAGTGGCTATTTCCAGTTGGACTCTAGTTGCATAAGGCAGCACAAACCACGGAGTCAGGCTTCAAGCACTTTGAGTCTGTCTGCCCCACAGGGGAATTTTGCTTTCTATTTTTAGCCCCCTTATTTTTGCCTTTTTAATATCAGGGATTAAACCTAGGGCCTCACAAATTAGGAAAGTACTCTACCAATGAACTATTATCAGCTCCTTTCTTGAGTGAATTTCATTCAACACCCAGTGGTAAATGATAATAGATATGCTTATAATTAATATATATATATATATGCATATATATATGTTTGTACAGAAAAGCTCATGCCATTGTAGTTATGAGTACATGGTGGAGAGAGACAATTTACTACTTTTGGAGATCATGTAGTAAAGTACAGGAATAAAACTTTTATATGGAAAATTGTTCCTCACCCTCCCCGTGTGGCAACAGTTCAGAACAGAGACAATCATACAAAAGTGACAAGAATCTGAAGGAGAAAAAATTAAATTGATCTGCTATCTTCGTGACTATGAGAAACATCTCAAGCAGAGACACTCAACCATCTAGAAAACAATCACTAGAGACCCACAAGGCTGCCTGTCCCTGCCCCAAGTCCTTAGCTGGCTCTGGAGTAACAGGTAAGTCCAGTTGTCTCTCGTCTTCTGGAAAACGGTGTGTCTTTCTCAGAGGAAGTCAGAGACTTCAATTTTAGAGCAAGACAGAGAGGAGCTGTCTTCTGAGAGGAGAAGGCGGTCTTTTATTTGAAATCAGGAGGGAAGGGATCCTATTCTCACTGTCCTACTTTCTGTCTGAAATGTCCTTCCCTGATTCATGCTTGTCAGTCAGCTGGTGGAACCATTTGAGAGGCTTGAGAAAGTTCCAAAGGAGGAATCAATAGGTCACTTGGGATCTTATCTTAGGTGTATTTTATTGACAGCTATTCTCTCTCCCCTCCCTTCCCGTCTCCTCCTCTGTATGTACCTAGCCTACCTTCCTATCTTGGATTTTAGTAGACATGGTTCAGTTAGTATGGACCTTGAGTGTGTAAAATTCTTGTCTATCTCTCGTCACCTAGGTACTACAACCTGAATGAATAACAAATAGCATGCAGAAACTCTAAAGGAGTCTAGAAAATTCTTTCCAACATGTCTTTGTCTTACTGTGATATTATTTTTCCACATCAAAAATGAAATGAGGATTCTTCTTTCTACTTTTTCTGTAAAAATCTGAATTTTATTACCCCCAAGAAAAATGAGGGAAATGCACAACATAAAACTGACCAAAAACTATAGGAACAAATACAAGACAGAAAAGCCCACAAATATTTTTAAAAATGCACCTCATTAAAAAAACAATTCAGCCGGGCGGTGGTGGTGCATGCCTTTAATCCCAGCACTTGGGAGGCAGAGCCAGGCGGATCTCTGTGAGTTTGAGGCCAGCATGGTCTACAGATCGAGATCCAGGAAAGGTGCAAAGCTACACAGAGAAACCTTGTCTTGAAAACAACACAAAACAACAACAACAAACCAAACACAATTCTTTGTCTCCTGCCTTCTGTTAGGATTTGAAGCCTGTTCCTTAGAAAAGGCTTCTATAATCCTGGATGAGGAAGTCATAGGCTCTAAGGTAGAACTTGCCACTGTTATTTTTCTATAGGCTAGGTTCTTAGATAACCACATATACATATTTTTTGAGACAGGGTCTGCAAGTCTCAGGGATTCACCCCTATGGCTCTGGAATTATGGGTACAGGTAGCTGTATTTGTTTGTTTTGTTTTTAATGTGGGAGCTGGAGATTGAATTCAGCAAGTACTTTACCAATTCAGATATTCTCCCCAGGTCCTTTCCATCTTTTACAGTTGATTTATTTTCACCTATTCTGAAAAAAGGCTGAAGTTGCTCTATGTTCTTTAATATCAAATACTAGCCTATTTCTTTTATGTAAAAATAAGGAAGCATATTCATCTTGTTAGTATGCAAATTGCATTACAACCTTATAAATTGTAAAATTATACACATATGAAAGAATTGTGTTAAAATAAATTTAAAATTTATTATCAGAAAAAAAGTTTGATTTGTACCTGTTTCATACACTTATGCAATTGGAATCAAAACATAATTTTCTCAGGCCCTTGCCTCTTTAGGGGTCACGAGTGGAAAAAGGATTAAGAAGCCCTGTTCTAGGCAACAGTCTAAGCCCGTCAAATGATCACCACAATGGGCAGTGTGTCTTATCGAAGAAATATATTGGTTAGTGAAACTAAATGGTTGAAAACTTTGTAGCTAGTTGGGAGATCTGTGATTGTGATAAACATGTTCTTTAAAACTAGCTTCATACTGGTTCAGATATCTTCTGTAACAACTATTGAGACAGAATACTATTAAACAGCAAACTAAATATTTAATAAACCTCCCTTAAAAGCTAGGGCTTATAGAAAGAAACATAAAGTGTTTTAAATTATACATTTTATTTGAGGCTTACCAGACCATAAGTCTCTTATCTGTATTGCGCCCCCCTCATTGTTAACATTACTTTTTACCACAATCAGAAAGTCAACATTGGTACATCACCAGGATTTCAAACATTAGAGTTATTAGATTGTCATGAATTCTACCAGTGATGCCATTTCTGTTTTAGAATCTCATTCTAAGTTATTACTACGTTTCCTCCGGTCTGTTTCTCAGCCCTTCCTGATTTATCATGATCCTGACTGCTTTGAGTAGTACTGGCCAAGTATCCTGCCAAGTGTCCTTTTGATTTCGGCTTATCTGATGTTTCCGTCTGAGTTCTGGGTTTTGGTGGAGGGAGACCTTCTCATGTCACAGCGCAGGGCTTCATGCTGTCAACAGACCACGGATGTCAACAATGACCTGGCCTAAAAAGTATTTGGCTGCCTTCTTCACTATAACCTGTTTCCCTTCCCATATTCCAAATAACCACAGCGAGGGCCATATCATGACCCCCTCCTTCGTCTTGGCAAACCACCTTGTATTTCCTAGCTCTTTCCAGGACCAGGCCAGCGTGTCCGGCCCTCTATGAGGGGACGCGTGACAATGGGTGGCGTATTTCACAGGACCTGCCACCCTGGTCTCACTGAGAATTCACTCAGTTTGGGAGACCGTCAGGGTCACGTCGGCGCCTTCCCCCCCCCACCCCCACCCCCCCAACGCCGCTGCTGTCCCAGTCAGTCCCCTGCCTCAGCTTCCTGAGGTGCAGGACGTGAGGCAGAAGGAAGCCTCCTTCCGGCCCGGGCCCCGGGATGGGATGAGGGGTGGTGGGGTGGGGTGGGATGCGGGGAGAGCCGCTCGGCTCGCCTTCCCTCCTTTCCGGCCTACGTGCTCGCTCGCAGACACGAAACCCTGCCCCAGCGACTTCCGCTCCTCCAGAGGGCGGACCGGCCTCGACTCCACCCGGTGCTACGTGCCCAGCTCAGCACGCAGCATGGCCGCCGCCCCAGGGCAGCAGCGAAGCCTTCCGCCCTCCCCGCGCATCGCCTTCACTGCGCACGCGAGCCAGGGCCGCGGGGGGCTTCTCCCTGAAGGGGGCGGAGCCAGGGGGGGCCCTCGAACTGGCCAATCAGATGGCGGGGCCGCGCAGAAGGCTCCTCCCCTCCCTCCCCCGGGTCCCCCGCCCACTGCTCCGGGGCTCCTGGCTGCACGTGTCTGTGTTTGGGTACGTGAGGCCGCCGCCGGGCTGGGAAAACGGCGCCGTGGAGAAATAGACCGTGGGGCGCTCCCGGGCTAGGGAGCGGCGGGGAGGAGCCACCCTGCTAGTCCCGGAGAGCTTTAAATTCCCCCACGTTGGGGCCGTCCGGTGCACTCTTACCTGCCAGTGTGCAGCCCGTGTAGCTTCTCTGCACTCCCGGGGACTCCTGTCATCTGCTTTAGGTGGGCGATGCTGTTGCTTAATTGCAACCTGGAGGTGAGACTCCCGCCCCTTTTAAGTCCTGCAGGCTGTCTTGCAAGAGGTCCGTTTTAGGAGCTCTCGAAAGGGTGACAGTGACTGACCGCTGGGTTACCAAATCAAATTTTTGTTTTCTTTTTTTTTTTTCGTGGCGGTGGGTGGATTTTCAGCTCAGCGAGGACTCAGGCAGGACAGTGACAGTCTGTTCTCTTCCTGCAGGATGATGGCCTCAAGAATTTGCTGGAGACAGGAGCATCGGTCAACGCACCCCCAGATCCCCAGGAGCAGTCGCCTGTTCACCTAGCTGCAGGTGGCGGCCTTGCTTGTTTTCTTCTCTGGCAGCTGCAAACAGGCGCTGACCTCAACCAACAGGTAACTAGGTAACCTATTGTTGCTATGTACAAGCCTCCCCTCAACCCAGAGTCTGCACTTAGCTGCCAGTTTCAGTTGGTATAAACAAGCATATAAGAATTTCCAGTGTGTATGTGTGTGTGTATAAAATCAAGATGGTAACTTGAAACTTTATTATCCACATTAATAAAGCAAAAACAAGCCATGAGGTTAATTTTAATAATTTAATCATATGCTGTTTCAGTATGCAATTATATCAGTAATGATTGATGTGCTAGTTTATTTTTGCTTTCATACCGTATTTTACAATCCAGTGTGTATTTTACTCTTACGGCATAGCTCGATTCAGTTTAGCCACATTTCAAATGCTCTTTAGCAATAGGTGGCCACTGGCTATCACGCTATGTAGTATACATCTACAGTAGCTTTAAAAATACTTGCTATTTGTCCAAGCTCAGTTGACCAGGAAGTAATACGTGGGAGCCATGCCCAGCATCACTTCTTCCAGTAGTTTTCATTAGAGTGTGATGAAGTTTTTAATTGTCAACCTTTGGCTTCTGTAGAACTCTCGTTTGCTGGCATTCCCTTCAATTTTAATGTATCTGAAAGTGACTGCTGTGTGTATTAATGGAAACTCTGTATTAACACAGTGAGAGTATTTTAATCAACTAGCTAATATTTGATTGCCCACTGGCTTTCATGGAGTGTTGGGGAGACACTAATGTGCTGTCTTGTCCTAAAGGATGTTTTGGGAGAAACTCCACTCCATAAGGCAGCCAAAGTTGGAAGCCTGGAGTGCCTTAGCCTCCTCGTGGCCAGTGATGCCCAGATTGGGTGAGTATAAAATCAGTGGCTGCGGGCTTTGTTTTCTTGGATTAAACTAATCATACTCCTGAAGCCTAATTATACATGATCTCAAAAATAATGCTTGCCCAACTGGTTGATGTTTTCCTTTCAGTGGTGTTATCTAGTATTATCAAATCGAGTAAGTGGAAATAGATCCTGAACACTCAGAGGTACCAGTCTTCCTCGTGGCAGATTCCACGGCAGTTCTCAGCTTAGGCAGACTCTTCCTCTAGAAGTTCTCATTGACTATATTTAGGTACTCACTATAGAGAATATTGAACACCAGTGCTCTTGTAGCCGTTCAAATTCCTTCAAGAGTGAAATACGATAATGGAATAAAAATACATAATGGAATGCCCATGGTGTGTGGAATGTGCTGGCCACCGAGTATACAACGGTGAACAAAACTTAATTGCCTTAAGCTTTTCTTTAACCCCCATTCCCGTGTGCATGCACATGCTGTGCGTGCATGCATGTGTGTGTGTGTGTGTGTGTGTGTGTGTGTGTGCGCGTGTGTGCGCACCCGTGTGCACGCGCGCTCATCCTGTGGACTACTTGTAGCTCCTCTATTCGTGCCTTTTATTTATTCTGTACCCAGTGTTGGTATGTGCTACAATTTCCAGTGTTAGAAAAATAATAATTTTCACTTAATTCACCTTTCGTCTAATTTCAGCTTATGTAATAAGAATGGGCAAACAGCTGAAGATCTTGCTTGGTCGTGTGGATTTCCAGAATGCGCCAGGTTTCTAACCACGGTTAAATGTATGCAGACAACAAAATCATCGGGTGATCCCTGTGCTCCAGTACCGAGACAGAAGCGAAGCTTATCAGGTGTGGAGAACAGAGCTTTGAAGAGGAAGTGTTGGTGCGTACCTTCCAGCGGCTGTTTGCTTCCTCCTTTACAGCTTTCTCTTCTGGCATGGAGTTTCTGGTTGCACTTAGTGTCAGCATTCTGATCAGAGGTCCAGGAGACTTTATTTTCTAAAGTTTTAACCCTTGGTCATAGTTACTACTTACTAGCTTCTAGAGACCAAAATTTATCCTATATGGTGGAAATTTGGGGAGGCCTCCTTTTAAAAGTTTTTTTTTTTTTCTTTTAAAGATTGTCTCCATGCTTGTGTATCAATGCACTCATGTGCCTGTGTGTGTTCAAGGGTGCATGTGGAAGCCAGCAGAGAGAGCATGGGGTCCCTTAGAGCCGGAAGTACAGGCCAGGCAGGCATCTGTAGCATGCCTGGCGTGTGCTTGGGTGCTGGGATCCAAACTCTAGTCCTCATGATTATGCAGCAAATATCCTTACCACTAAGCCATTTTTCCAGTCTCCTTAAACATGTTTTTAATGTCAACGTGTTTTTCTCTTTTTCCCAAAAACGGATATCTTGTTGGGCAAGAAGAGGTTTGAAGAAGGGCTTCCCTTCAGACTGATCTACAAGCCATGGCTGTGGCTTACCATATGGATAAACTCCTGAGGAGGAAAACTTTCTTCTAAGTGAAGAGAACATTCATGAATACATGTATTTACATGACTGTATCTTGCCTGTGCATGCTATGTTATTTAACTTGTTAAAAGAATATTCAAGGAATAAAAATTTCTGTGGATTCTTTACTACTTTTGAAACAAATTAGTTTAAATTAAAATCACAGCCAAGATTTAATTTAAAATTATGCTTGCTTTTATTGACATTAGAACAGCTCTTTTAAACCTATAGTCTTGACTCCAAGTAATTTAAATAGCATTTAAACAGCATTCGGTCGTTGAGGAAGGCATAAGTTATAGTATGCATCCTTGTTCCAAAAGTCTGGGCTCTTCCATCCACACCAGCCCTAGGTTTGGAAGGAGGGAAAGAAAACCTTTTATAATACAAGACTCCATGATGGAATCTGACATAAGACTCAGATACTGATCTAATTCAAGGATTTTCTAGTGAAGAAGGGTAACTTTTTTTGTCAACTTGATACAAGCTGCCATCATCTGGGAAGATGAACCTCAATTGGAAAAATGCCTCTGTCAGATGTGCCTGTGGGGAATCGTCTTTATTGACGATTGATGTGGGAGGGCCCAGGACACTGTGGGCAGCGCCACCCCTGGGCAGGTGGCCCTGAGTCATGAAAAATCAAGCTGAGCGAGTCAGGGAGTGGCATTCCTCCACGGCCTTCAGTTCTTGTCCCGACGTCTGGACTGTAAGATGAAATGAACCCTTCCCTCTCCGAGTTGTTTTATTTAGGGTGCTTATCACAGAAACAGAAAGTAAACTGATAGATTTTTAAACAGAACAAAAAAAAATCTATAATACTTAACTCTAGAAGTCATCAAAAACAAAACAAAAATCACTCCCTTAGAGCAACTGTTAGTCCAGACATTATACTCCATTGGTTCTAAGATACAGGCTATCCTGGCTGTAATAGCTTTACTGTAAACTGTTTTACCTAGTAGTCTATAAAAGGCCACACATATGTGCCATTCAGTGACACCTTAGACATAATGAAATGCGAGACCCAAGCCAGCCCCTTGAGTTCTGTTTTTATTTTTTATCTTTATAGGCTGTCTTCCTTCCGGTCTTTATTTCTGTTTAATCCTTTTCTCTAGCAGAGAATAATTTTTAATGGTTTTATTATAAATAAGAAAGTTTTATCAATTTTCTTCTAGGGCCACTCATTTTCTCTTTGAGACAAGAGTCAAACTGTAGCCCAACCTGGCTTGGAACTTACCACGCAGTTTAGCCTGGGCCTTGAACTAGTTGTACACCTCCCACCCCCATGCTGGGATTATAGGTGTGTGTTACCACGCCCAGAGTGATTGTGTTAAAGGAAGCTGATGACTGGCCTGTATTACATTGAGGTCAAAAGCAATGTGGAATACTTCGGCTGAGAGCTGAGTTACTCCTCTAACTGAAGCTGCTGGAGGCTGGCAGGGATCTGGAGTCTATAGACTAGAGTGTATTAGCTCTTTTATAGTACGGACGAGGGAGAGTTCACTGAACATGTTCTTTTTTCCTGTCTCTCTTGTTAATTGTCAAAATTTAAACAAGATCAAAATAGACAAAACACTGCACACTATCTGCCTTGGCCTTTTGAATACTCTCATACAGACAGGCCTTCTGGTAACCAGATCTTTTTTTTTAAAGACAAATAGAGAAATAGGCAGTGTATGCCAAAAAGGCATGGATATGGAGGCTGTCCTTCCAGATGACCAACCTGGGAAGTCAAACAGGAAGGCTCTAGAGGAAGTGTGATGGCTAATCTTGGTTGTCAACTTGACATACCTGGGAAGAGGGAATGTGAACTGAGGAACTGCCTGTCATCTGGCCTGTGGGCATGAGTGGGGGCATTTCTTGATGGCTAACTGGAGAAGGAGGGTCTAGCCCACTGTGGGTAGTGTCACCCTTTAGGTAAGTGATCCTGAGTTGTGTAAGACAGCAAGCTGAGCAAGCCATGGGAAGCAAGCCAGTAAACAGAGATCCTCCTCAGTCTGTTAGTGTCTGCCTCCTGTTCTGCCTTGAGCCCTCAACATCAGCTTGTGTAAGTGTAAGCCAAATAAACCCTTTCCTCCCCAGTCGTGCTGGTCTTATCACAGCAGCAGAAAGCAAGCTGGGGCCGGATGGTCAAGTGAGCAAGCAGAGGCGCAGTGCCCACATTACTGCTCGGTGATCTACTGGAGTCACACAGTCAAGAGACCACGTGGCTGTGCCCAGGCTTCAGTTTGCTGTATGCACCAGAGGGTTAAAGGGCTTTCTACAAAAATGTGACTGGCAAAGTTCTCAGGGACAGTAATCAGGGATGACGGCTCCCTTTATGACTCCCTTTATCTAACTGCCGCAGGATAACCCCAGCAGGGGCAGAGCCCAGTAATCAGCCAGAAGAAGCACGTTTATTCCCGGATCACCCCTGATGGAAACAATTATGTTCTACCTGCTTTCAAGATAAAAACCTGGAACTGGGTGGTGGTGGTGCATGCCTTTAATTCCAGCACTCGGGAGGCAGAGCCAGGTGGATCTCTGTGAGTTCAAGGCCGTCCTGGTCTACAGATCGAGATCCAGGACATGCACCAAAACTACACAGGGAAACCCTGTCTCGAAAAACAAAAAGACAAGCTCTAAACCGGGGCTCAGCTTCTCTGCCTGTCATCCTGCGCCCTCCTCACTGGGCTAACGCTCATGTAGCTCGAGCAGTTTGGGGAACAGGCTGTACTTTCCCTTCCCTTCATCTAAGGGGTCCTTCCACAGCCTTCAAAACCTAAACCTGCATACTTTTTGTCTGAGAGTCCTTTTGGACTGCCCTCTCCCTCTCCAGTAGACCGAGAGCTCCTTAGAGATGCTTAGGACTGTGGCTGACATCGATTGGGTACTAATAATGCCAGATGAGTCAACACTTGGCTAGGAAGGGAAAATGGTGCTATTATCTAAAATATTGCCTTATTTATTTTGTGTTTGTGGAGGTCAGAGGACAACTTGCAGGAGTTGCTTCTTGTCTACCATGTGGGATCTAGGGATCAAACTCAGGTTGTTAAGTTTGGTAGAAAGCCTTTTTTATCTGCTGAACCACCTCACCAGCCTTTCATATGAGAATTAGCTGCTTATAAATCAATTTAGATTTATGCCCCATGTAATCAATATTATGTCAACAAATACCTCTAAATTTGCTCAACTTTTGGTCTTGATAGAATGATTATGTTATATGTACATGAGAAGTAGTCACATCTTCATATGACTGGCATTTTGTCTATCTGTTGATTCATTGATTCTAAAAGTATTAAGGGTGTGTGTGGATCTGTACATAAGGTGTTGATCCCTGGAGCTGGAGTTACAGGTAGTTGTGAGTCACATAAAGTGTGTGCTGGGAACTGAACTTGGGTTCTCTACAAGAAGAAAGGGCAAGAGCTCCTAACTGCTCAGTTACTCTCCAGTCCTGATTTTAAAAGTCTAAAAGGTTATTCTGTTATCCTGTTTTAAGACATTGATGAGACAATACAACTGTATGTGCTACAAAATCTGCAAAGGAAATGTGTCTATCATGTTCTGTTATGAAGTTTAGTAATAGCAAAGCTTTATAAACATTTTGTCTTTTGTGATTTCTGCTATCTTTCCTGTCTTCCCTACATAGAATACAAACGCACAACAGACTTAGAAACACTGCTGTGAGGACAACTGCCCTTGGCTTATTATCTTTGTTAACAGCCAGGCTGCGGTCTTTCATTTCCGGCTCTTTGCCTTGTGTCTTAAATTTATGTGATATGGATATTTACCTTTTCCAAGATAACTTGCAGGTCTTCCGCACCTGTATAATGCGGGTCTAGAATTAGAAATTTTATCTGCCCTGTAGTTTCATTCCATGTGACTCCTAGTATTGTGTGAGCCAATACTCCTCCCCCTAGAAAAAAAGAAATACATCATAGGGCATAAATTAATTTTAACTGTTTATTTAGTTCAAATAAAATCTAATTGTTTTGCCTATTAATTGACTTAATACAGCATTAGAACAGTCCAATATTGTAAAAGATCATGATGGCAAATATATTTGAAAGAATAAGATTATATATTTAACAACTGTTGTCCACAAAACCAGCCAAGCTGGCGACAGAGTCATGACTCATGATGCTTAGTCAAGTGGCTATCACCGTTTAAAAAATACTACCCTTGGCTCATGTTAAAAAACAAAAACAAAACAGTTACCATTTTCTCTTTAGCATTTGTTTTTGGTTACTAAAGCTTTTTTGCAACTTTTCTATCCTTTGGATAGAAATGTTTACATTTTTATTTTATGTGTCTGCATTTATGTCTGTGCACTACATGATGCACTCACTACCTGCAGAGACCAGAAGAGGCACTGGATTCCCTGAACTAAAACTGCAGGCGACTGGGAGCCACCACGTGGGTACTTGTAATCGGACCCAGGTCTTCCAGAAAAGCCACCAGTACTCTTGGCTACAAAGCCATCTTCCCAGACCCAATTTTAAGATATTTAAAATGACTAGTTTTTATGTAACATTAAAAACGTTAAAAAATAAGTTTTACTTATTCTCCACTCTGCCAAAAGAACCCAACATGTTCAAAACACCTTACCAATCATTATTGGAGTGCCCACATTCTGGAAATGGTTGGCCAGTTCCCGTCCTTGAGAGGCCATTTCTGAACCTTGGCTAGATGAAAAGAAATCATCTCCTATCAGACAACTGTTTTCAGCACTCAGTCAAGTAAGGAGTTGGGGGAGGGGGGGAGATTAGCACTACTTTCAGTCTTTTTTGTTCATGGATCTTGAAAAAAAAAACATTAAGTGTAGGGACCTGATTCAGATGCAACTTAAAGCAACATAAACTAACATTTTAAGGATACTAACTAGGGAAGAAACAAAAAGACTCCAGCTTTCTGCTTCCTGCTTCCGACAACATAAAGCTTTTTTTTGTTTTGTTTTTGGTTTTTGGTTTTTGGAGACAGGGTTTCTCTGTGTAGCTTTGTGCCTTTCCTGGATCTCGCTCTGTAGACCAGGCTGGCCTTGAGCTCACAAAGATCCGCCTGGTTCTGCCTCCTGAGTGCTAGGATTAAAGGTGTGCGCCACCACCGCCTGGCAGGTTTTGTGTTTTTAACATGAGATTGAAACTAGTCACCTTGTCCTTTTTCAAAGCCTATATGTTCTGTCTTTAAATTGGGATCAGTAACAGCCATCACATGTACAAGATAGAGGAGATTCTAGGACTAATATATTCTTCTGTGAAAACCTCAGTGTTTTCAAGTGTACCCTATTTCATGGAGTATTTGGACATACTAAGTCCTTTTCACTTTTGAGAAGAGAAAGACAGAAGGAACAGTACATATACTCCTCAGCATTCTAAGCTGAAAATATTGTGAGTAAAAATTCATCTAGTATCTCTAACTATGAAATATCAGAGCTTAGCAACACACCCCACTTGTTTCCCTTCATGAAAGGTTAACTGGAAGCTAAGCCTTGTTGATACTGCCCTCTGTCATCAGTCTTGTACTGCATATTTGAAAGATCAAATGAAAAATCCACAAGTAATTTCACATCATTATAAAGTAAAAAAAAAATGTACGCTGAATCATCATCAGTAGACCCATTACTTTTGTGGAGGTACCAGGTGCTGTAAGACCTGGTAAACACCTGGCTGAGCAGGCAGCATACAAATGTTTTAACATATCAAAACATTCTGTAATTTCTTAAAACACTTATTTTGTGAATGTGCATGTGTATACCTGTGCCATGGCACACATATGGAGGTCCCATGAATTAAACTCAGGCTTGGTGGCAAGTGCTTTTCACCTCATCGGTTCCAAGCCTCAATTTTTTTTGTTTTGTTTTTCGAGACAGGGTTTCTCTGTGTAGCTTTATGCCTTTCCTGGATCTCGCTCTGTAGACCAGGCTGGTCCTGAAATTACAGAGATCCGCCTGCCTCTGCCTCCCGAGTGCTGGGATTAAAGGTGTGTGCCACCACCGCCCGGCCCAATCTTCAATTTTTAAAATAGTTCTTTACTACTTTGTCTGCCATTATTTCTTACTGATTTTCACAATTCCAATTGTGAGATCAAATATACTATAAGTACTTGGAGAATAGGCACTGTTATTGTAGTTACCAAAACAACACGGTTTAAAATGTAAGCCCATGGAAAAAGTCTGTAAATATTTAACGTAGTATTTAACAAAGTAGAATAAAAGTCATTCCCAGTTTTTAAATTTATTTTTATTTTTATTTTTCTGTTGTACCTGGGAGTTAGGTAGGGTGGGATCCCTAGTAACTGGTTTGCCTAAAGTAGTTGGTTATTATACTAGGCATAGCCAGAATCCTTCTCTGGGGTGGTAGCTATGGCCCCCCAAACCACCTAGCCCAGTATGTTGGGCAATGCACTCACTCTAAATGACAACCATGATGTCCCTGCTCAATGCCGCACGAGTGTGGCTCCTCAGGCCTCTGTCCATCTATGTCAGCCTCTGGGGCATATCTGTCACAGCCTGGGGAATCTCCAACTCAGGAGTATTCCCTGCCTGAACCAAGGAGCTCTTGTCTCTTGGATTTTAGTGTTGACTGCAATAATGTTATATTTTATTTATTTAGTAAATATTTTATACTATATGTGAGAAATGAGAGTATAACATTTATGGTGATGAAATTAAAACTTCTTAGGCGTTTAATAAAAAAGCAAGTTATGGTCAGAGAAATTGATATGTGCTAATTAATATTTTCTCTTATTATTAGAATTGTAGAAAATGTAAGTTGAATATATTATTTGTATATTTGTTGGTTTGTTAACATGTTAGCAAGAAACAGAACAAAAGAAAAACATAATAGTCAGTGATCAAAATTTGGTTTTCTCCTTAGAAGACTTTTTGAAGATTTAAACATTAGCAAACTTCATTTTGTATACAGAACTTTACCCAAAGATATTTCTATGTTTTCCATGTACAGACTAAAATTAGGTCCAGAGAATACATGTATGTATCACAGCTTGTTTAAAAAAAAGAGATTTATAAAGCAATGAGTTAATGAACAAGAGCAATGATTGGAAATAAATACGGAGGAAATGCCATTTTTCTATTACTTTAGAATGGATGTATCTGGTTTATAAAGTGTCCTTACCTAACAAACAGTATTTTTGAAGTGACACCAATCAGTTGGTTTAGCACCAGCTGTACTTCAATAGATCCAATCCATTGCCGTGATCCCACAAATGCTGCTGGCTTGTCTCCGGCATCAACAAGAGCCTTTAGTATTAAAACACACAAAATAAAAATCCATACGCCAGACAGCTATTAAAATCACATTTAGGGTATTTTAATTAATTACCACTAAAACAATACATTTCTTCAAAATAAAAATAAATCTATGCCATGGGGTAATAATAACTATCAAGGGCATATTGAAAGCTGGTTTTAATTTCAAATGGCAAGTTCTGTACCTGCTGAATTTCTCTGTGTGTTGGAATGGACCTCTCTGTGTATCCCTGATGTCTGAACCATGAGCAGATGGTCTGTAGGGACCGATAAGCACAGCCCCAGCCATTATCATCTATCCGATCCTGCATATAGTGATGATAAGCATAGATGCCCTGGACCACACAAACCTATAAAAAAGAAATGTCGTATTTATTAAAGACAGAAGTACATGCTCTGTTGAACCACCAGAGTCATGTTTACTGTTTCAGAGATAGACCAGTGGTTCTCAACCTGTTGGTCACGACCTCTTTCACAGGGGTCAACTAAGACCATCAGAAAACACAGATATTTACACTACAAGTCATAACAGATGCAAATGTACAGTTAGGAAGTAGAAACAAAAATAATATTATGGTCTGGGGGCACTATAACATGATGAACTGTATTAAAGGGTGTCAGCATTAGGAAGGTTGAGAACCACCACTTTAGAGCCTTATAAAAATGCCTTCACAGAACAATGGCTCAATATTATACATGTTTGGCTTTTTCTTATAAGTCCAGAGTCCTTTCCAATGGACCTACTAGAAAGATATGTATTCTGGCTTAACAATGCTAGCTCCTATACTTTCTTCTCCCCTTTCTTAATTTAATTAGTTTTAAATATGTCAATGGTTATCTGATCATGAAGCCTTATATTTTTCTTGGTTGGAAATATCCTTTTCCCAATTAATTTTACAGCATGAACCCTTTTCCATTCAGGTCTCTGTTCAATGCCAGAAACCATCCATGACCAGCCTACTTAAAAATGGCATGATCACTTTCTCATGCCTGCCCTTTGTCCTGTCTATCAACTCTCTCCTGACTTCATGTAAGTATGTATGCATGTATATATATATATATATATATATATATATATATATATATATAATTTCTAAGTAATTACAGCTATTTCACATATAACTGATTATATTTTCAGTGTCTGCCTATCAACACTAGAACGTGGGCTAGGCTAGTAAGCTTATGTTGTACCTTATTCATTTCTAGGCTCTAATTCCACAAAAGGCAGGTCCCACAGCTGATAAACATGCTGCTGCTGAGTAAATGATGACTGAAGGAAGGAAGAAATAAAGGAATACACAAACGAACAGAAGTAGGTTCTGTACAACGGAACACAGGAACAACACTTCCGTGGTTTTGTAGACCTGCCATTGACTACAGCTGGTGTGTGTTATCAATGACTAAAATGGGGACTGATGCCATAAGATTCTTCCTGGCAGTATAATGCTAAATAAAAATGAACTTTTGACAAAGCATTTTATTTATTTATTTATTTATTTATTTATTTATTTATTTATTTAGGTTTTTCGAGACAGGGTTTCTCTGTAGCTTTGGAGTCTGTCCTGGACTAGCTCTGTAGACCAGGGTGGCCTCGAACTCACAGAGATCCACCTGCCTCTGCCTCCCGAGTGCTGGGATTAAAGGTGTGCGCCACCACTGCCTGGCACATATTATTTTTTTAAAACTCGAAGTTGTGAAGAAATACAGGGCACTCACAAGACGATTAGGCAACAGACTGACAAGGTGTAAACTGAAAATGTAGAATCAGATTATTTGGTAGGAAGAAAACTGGCCGCTCCCAAAGCTATCTATGTCCTAACCTCCAGAACAGCAGCAGTCCTACTTTATGCATATGATTAAGGACTTAAGATGGAGAGGTAGGAAAGTTATTCTGGTCTAGCCAGGGAGGCACTAAATGCATGCATATGCATCTTTATCACAGAGGAACAAGAGGAATCAGCTCTGAATGCTGTGACCACAGCCAAGGAATGCTAGCTAGCAACTATCTGAAGCTGAGGAGATGAAGAATGACTATTCCTCAGGAGCCTGTGGGAGGGAGAATGGCCCTGGAGATACTTTTAGTTTAACTGAGTGATGCTAATTTTGGACTTCCAGCTTCCAGAACTGTGACACAGACATTTCTACAGTCTGCAGCTACCCAGTATGTATCATCTGTCACAGCCTTTACAGCAAATGAGTCCTCTGCTTTAGGACATCTTCCTAATGCCTTTTTTTTTTTTTTTTTTTTTTTTTTTTTTTTTTTTTTTACAGCAAATGAGTCCTCTGGTTTAGACTGTCTTCCTAACAGTAGGCAAAGATCATAAACATATGGTGGATGTTAAATAATTTTCTAAAAGAAAGATTGAAGTGCCATCATATATAAATGTAAAAATACTTAAAAGTGAATAAGACAAAAATCTTTCAAATTAAAATTATAGATTACAATAAAAGTAGTGCTTTATCTGCAATTTAAAACTCTACATTAGAAAACAGGAAAGATTAGCAACAGTCTAAGTTCCAACTTAAGAAATCAGAAGAAACACATTAAATCAAAGAAACAAAGTAAAACACCAAAATTAGTGAGACAGAAAACAAAAGTTATAAAGAGGGGTTATCAAAGGCAAATGTTTAAAGGAAGGAAAAAAATCATAAAGTGATATAAAGATTAAAAAGAAAATACAACTATATGAGGAATTAAGACCTAGGTAAATATGATAATGTCTCATAATCACTAACAAAACTGAATATTATTAAGAATATTCACAGAGAGGCTGGAGAGACGGCTCAGCAGTTGAGAGTGCATACTGCTCTTGCAGAGGACTGAGCTCAGTTCCCAGCACCCACAGCAGGCAGTGCACAACCACCTGTTAGTCCAATTCCAGAGGGATCCAGCACTTCTGGTTTCCACAGCCACCTTCACACATGTGCTCGCACACACACACACACACACACACACACACACACACACACACACACACACAATCAAAAATAAAATCTCTTAAAAAAAGAATAACACAACAAAAATGCTAAAGTCCAGGTTGTTTTTCAGGCTTTCATATCAAATGATCAAGAAAATAACATGCCAATCGTATATAAACTCTAGAAATTTAAAAGATGGAGCATTTCCCAAATGTTGTGTGTCACTGGTACATTTTTTTAACTAAGAGAAAACTATAAGGAAATGTCAGTTACAAATAAAGATTATATATACATAAATCAAGACAGAGTTTCTCTGTGTGACAGCCCTGGCTGTCCTGGAACTCACAGAGATCTGCCTGCCTCTGCCTCCTGAATGCTGGGATAAAAGATGTGCGCCACCACTGCCCCACAATGAAAAAAATCTTAACAAAATATTATCAAACTGCATCCAGCAGTGACTAAGACATGATAATGGACACAGTAAACTGGATTTCTATAATAAGCACATCCATTTTTACTGGGAGATCAGATGAAATGTATAGGGGTAAATAACATGAAGTTTATAACTTTCCCTGAAATGGTTCAGGGAAATAAAGAGACAAAAATTTAAAAAAAAAAATAGCAACTGTTTACAACTGTTTCACACAGGAGACATGAATGGGACTGTTCATAGGAAGGCTGCCTAAAATCACAAAAATCCTGGAAAAAGTTATAAAGATGTTTATTATACAGGAATCAAGACAACTAAACCATAGTGAGACCAAATAAGATGAACTTTAGATATAGAATGTTGAGTGAAAAAGCTGTAGAAGACTGCATATACAATGGTAAGATTTTTATAAAAGTCAGAATGAAACAAATATTGCTAAAGTAATGTATACCTTATATGTATACATACATACATACAAAGCTCTTAAGAAACACAAAAATGGGAGGGAGAAGGATGAATGTGTCTCTGTGCAATGGCCCTTTAGCATCCTTAGAAAACTGTCCCAGGACCCAGTGCAGATACAAAATCTTGGATACTTAGGCTCTTTATGAAAAATGGTACAGTATTTTTTTATAACTCATGAATATCCTCCCAGTTACTTTAAATAATCTCTAGATTACCTATCTTAGACAAAAACAATGAAAAGACTATATAAATGGCTACTATGTTTTCTAGGAAATAACAGCAAGGCAACAATATATACATTCAAGGCGGACTTTTTTTTTTAAAAGATATTTCTGACCTAGGATTGGCTGAACGCACAGATGTGCAAGCAGCAGGTGTGGAGGCTGACTGTGTAGGAGTCACTGTGGGACTGTGGGCTGAACGCACAGATGTGCAAGCAGCAGGTGTGGAGGCTGACTGTGTAGGAGTCACTGTGGGACTGTGGGCTGAACGCACAGATGTGCAAGCAGCAGGTGTGGAGGCTGACTGTGTAGGAGTCACTGTGGGACTGTGGGCTGAACGCACAGATGTGCAAGCAGCAGGTGTGGAGGCTGACTGTGTAGGAGTCACTGTGGGACTGTGGGCTGAACGCACAGATGTGCAAGCAGCAGGTGTGGAGGCTGACTGTGTAGGAGTCACTGTGGGACTGTGGGCTGAGGAGGTAGGGAGGAGACATAGCAGTAGACAAGTTGGTAATGTTCTGGTTCTTAACTGAGTAGGACTCCTAGTTATTCATTTCTTTGCTATGCTGTGAAATATAGTGTGTACCAATGTATGTATATACACATGTATATGTGTGTGACATACACAGGTCAAATATTATAAATATTAAAATAAAGAAATGCCTTTTGCACTTTGTAACATGGATAAGGAACGGATTTTATTGTCAAAATCAATCAGTATGCACTTAATGCTTTATGATCTTGGGCTTTTTGTAAACAACTATTAAGAATTTAAAATAAATACAGGATGCAATATAAACCATGGAGTTCTGAATCTAGTTTGAGAGAAAAAATATTTAAGTCAGGAGCTTGTAGAGGGCCACTCAGAGTTCCACTGTAACATTAAACACTATTTCTTACTCTATGATTCCGTGACAGAGCAAGAGTCGGACAATAGGTTTCTTGGGATTTCTTCTTATCTTCTCGAAGTAAGTGAAATCATTTACCATCTCTAGAATGTTGACTCTAGACTCATGGGTTACATGTAATGGTGGGTGTTCAGCTAATGCTACACCAGAGGAAGCTGGTCTGTTCATTCAGATGGGGCTGTTACGGCTAAGACCAAAACCTCAGTCCTCTCTCAGTTATCACAGCGTTTACTCATTTTGATTCTTAAGATTTCCTTATGAAACTCCTGGACACTCAGAAGGCACTGAAAGAGTGCCATCCAAGATGGCCAGTCACATTTTCTTCCTTTGTAATCGAAACTGAGAAGTGCACAGCGAACCCAGCAGTAAGAGCAGAGGGACAAGGAGAGAGGTCAGGCTGGATAGCTCAACAAGGAGAGAGGTCAGGCTGGATAGCTCAAAGAGGAACAGGAAGAAGTTTCACATAACTCAAACAAGGCTGGTGCAGAGGGCAGGGGCTGACCAGGCCAGGAAGGGCTAGCAGCAGAAAGCCAGCAAGGAGCCTGCCAGGCCATCAGAGAGCCTGAGCCAGCTCCAGTTTCTTTCTTTTTTTTTTTTTTTTAAAGATTTATTTATTATGTATACAACATTCTGCCTCCATGTATGCCTGCAGGCCAGGAGGGGGCACCAGATCTCATTATAGATCATGTGGTTGCTGGGAATTGAAGTCAGGACCTCTGGAAGAACAGTCAGTGTTCTTAACCTCTGAGCCATCTCTCCAGCCCCCAGCTCCAGTTTCTAAGAGGCCTGGCTGTTCCCGTGCTCCCGCTCCTGGATGACAATGAGATTCTTTTTACTGGCTTTCATGTACCCTTAATTTAACCCCTGTCCTCACTCTCCACCAATCCAGTTATCTAAGCACTTATATCGAGAGTCTGCAACCAGATACAAGAGGTAGACTACAGAGGGCAGCGTCTTAGCCTTGTCCATACTATGGCTTGGGGAGACTATCCCCTTAATTAGCATGATTTGTCAGGTGCAGAATGAGAAAAAAGGAAAAAACCTTTCGAGAAATCAGAGAATGTTATTTTAGTAGGAGAAATGTGGTAAATACTCTCCATTGATAACCCTTTTAGATCATTAATTACTGCTATCTTTTTTGAGGCAGGGTCTTTCTGGCTAGCCTGGACTTGCTGAGATTAAAGATATGTGTACTACCACTCAAAGCTAATTACTGCTATTTTTTTTTTTTTTTTGGTTTTTCGAGACAGGGTTTCTCTGTGTAGCTTTGCGCCTTTCCTGGAACTCACTTGGTAGCCCAGGCTGGCCTCGAACTCACAGAGATCCGCCTGGCTCTGCCTCCTGAGTGCTGGGATTAAAGGCGTGCGCCACCACCGCCCGGCCTACTGCTATTTTTTTAAGAAGACTTATTTTGTGTGTGTGTGTGTAGTGTGTGTGTGTGTGTGTGTGTGTGTGTGTGTGTGTGTGTGTGTGTGTGTGCGCGCTAGAAGGCAGCATAGGTCTCCTAGAGTTGCAGTAACAGCAGCTGTGAGTCACTTGATATGAGTTCTGGGAACCAAACTCAGGTCCTATGGAAGAACAGCAAACACTCCTAAATACGAAACCATCTCTCCATCCACTAATTACAGTTATCTTAAAGGAGGTTTTTTTGATTTTTGTTGTTTTGGTTTTGGTTTTTCAAGACAGGGTTTCTCTTCTTTGTGTAGTCCTGGCTGTCCTGGAACTCATTCTGTAGACCAGGCTGGCCTCGAACTCAGGGACCTGCCTGCCTCTGCCTCCTAAGTGTTGGAATTAAAGGTGTGCGCCACCATGCCTGGCTCCTCAAATAAGGTCTTAAACAAAGGCTTAAAAGAGACAAGTGATAAATTATTTTTTACAAGAGAAATCTGTAGCACGAATCTTAAAAGGTCTTATTAATAAAAACAAACCTGGAGCCAGGTATTGGGATGAACCCTGAAAGATCAGAGAAAACAGAACAAGGCACATCCAACCTCACCTTGCCAATTCCTCAGCTGATCTTGTTTCCTCAGACTGAAAGCCTGTGTCCTCATCTGAATGGATCTCAGCTGAACTGCTGCTCAAAGCTAAAAGCTTAAAAAGCCTCCAGTTCCTGGTCCTCACGCTTTATATACCTTTCTGCCTCCTGCCATTGCTTCTTGGGATTAAAAGTGTGTGTCACCATGCCTGGCTGTTGCCAGTGTGGCTTTGAACTCACAGAGATCCAGAGGGATTTCTGCCTCCAGAATGCTGGGATTAAAGGCGTGTGCTACCACTGCCTAAACTTATGTTTAATATAGTGGCTGTTCTGTTCTCTGACCCCCAGATAAGTTTATTGGGGTGCACAGTATATCAACCACAGGAATCAATTCTTAAAAACTTCTCTTGGGAACCAATCCAAAGCAGTGAATGACAGCAATTGATCAACTCTTATAAAAACTAGTTAAACTCACCATGCTACCCTCTATGTTAGGCGGACTCAGGTAAGTATGTGGGTTTCTAAGGCAGCCATCTTTATATGGTTCATCTGGAAAGTGATAAGCGTTAGCCCTTTTGAAATAAGGTCTGTCATGAGGCAGATTGAAGAGGTCATGTAACTCCTAAATAAACCAGAATCAATAAACAAAGAAAAGAATTTTAGATTTTTAGTTAAAACACTCAAACTCAATACTTATAAGACAGAAAATATGTTAGCTATAAGCTTTCAAAAACATGACTTGAGTCACCAAGGTCAATTGGTGAGTAGACTGAAACCAATTTACACCCCTCTAGCAGAGACTAGAAGGGATGACAGAAATGGGAAAATCACCTGTGAGAATTGGGATGTTTTGGAAATGAGAAATTATAGTTCACAATGAGATGTCAAAGGACTTTGGACAGCCATGTTTACAATACTTTAGACATGTAAGTGCACTCATTAAATACAGAGTAGAAGCTTGTGATTTAAAACCAACCAAGATGGCATGAATAGAAACATTTACCAATATGTAAATTACCAAAATGTAACGCACCATTTTCTCAACCTCATAGAAACATACAATACTTATCCTAAAAGTCTGGCCAAACTCCAACATACTTTAGTGGTTTCGACAGGTCAGCTTGCACAGTATCTGAAAATCCATTTATCTCCAATATTTGGACTTAGGAGCAGAGTTTAGGGCATGATTTGGTGAGTGCTAGGCAAGGCCACAGGTCCAAAAGACATTTTCTAAAACCAGTCCTTCTGTTGATAAATCTCATTTCTTTAAATGCTGGACAGGTTTTCTCCAAAACTTCTCTAATGAAACTTAAATAACCTTATTTGTGGTTGACTATTACCGTGTATCATAGTCAGAATTAGCATGGATTCCACCATTGCTTTTTTTTTTTTTTTTTTTTTTTTTTTGGTTTTTTTCGAGACAGGGTTTCTCTGTGTAGCTTTGCGCCTTTCCTGGAACTCGCTTTGGAGACCAGGCTGGCCTCGAACTCACAGAGATCCGCCTGGCTCTGCCTCCCGAGTGCTGGGATTAAAGGCTTGCGCCACCACCCGCCCGGCTCCACCATTGCTTTTGCATTGTCCTGTTGTCTTTCTCAAATCTGGAGCTAACCGAGGGGAAAGGAACTTCTTAACACCCATCAGCTACTCTAGGCATGTACTTGCCATTTCTATTTTTCACTATGAAAAATGGTAACACTTCACAATTATATGATCCACACTGTGCACTTGAAATTAAAGCGTTACATGCTATACTAAAGTAATATGTTTTCATTACTAAACACATCACAAAGAAATTTCAAAAAATTTTTGTACAGTAGCCCATTTCTATATTTTTAAATTAAACCATAAAATAATTTATACTTACTACAAATTATAATTAAGCACAAAATGAACAAGAGACTTTTTTCTCATAATAATGATCCACTTTTACCTTTCTATAGGCCTGCAGCTGACCATCTGGAATTCCTGATGGATATAAAACTGTTACAAGATTTTTTTTCCCTGGCAATAGGAAGTGCAGTGGTTCAGGGACTACAATGGATGTTCCTTTCATATATCTCAAAATGCATTTTTCCACATCAACTAGTTGATTAAGAACTGCATCCACTAGAAGTTTTCGAACTCTGTAGAAGGAAATATTTAAGTGAATTAACAAAAGGTATAGAGGCTAAAATGAAGATGTGTAGCTCTGAATAGAGTACAAAAATTCCACTGGACAAGGTTTATCAAAGTCTAAATTACGCAAAGTCAAAGTAATTGTATTTGCTCTGGGTGGATAGAGGGAAGCCTTCTAGGTTTTGGTGTGCTTTCCTATCTCTTCCAAATAAATATTTAACTATTCAATGACTCTTAGGTTGAAAACAAGGAGTACATCACAGTAAAAGTAGCCCATCACCCCGGATATGACTTATGTCCTATTTTTAAAAGAACTGAGTTCTGATTACTTTATAGAAGGGTCCTCATTTAAATGTGGTATTAGTACTATAAAAATACCTACTTTCCCCATGTTTCTTCGGGAGCAACAGATACAACCGCATCGATCGGCAAGCTCATATTAATGTAGTGGTGTTCTTCATTTTCCCTTTCAATGATGGGGGTTACAGCTCCCAGAGAGGTTGATATTTCCAGCATGAGCTCTATATTTACTATTTGTTGCTACACAGACAGATAGTTAAGAGTCAACTTGTGGAACATTAAACACTGAATCTAAAAAGTAAATAGATTTTTAAAGGATGATATATAAAGCTACATTATAGATAGTAACTGAAAGGACCAGGCAGATGCCATCACAGACTGCTCAGTCTTCATTCAGAGTTCAGGCCTCAATTTCAGTTTCCTGAGACTTGAGCAAGCTGTTTCTGGGAGGGCTGTGAACAAAAGACATAGTCCTTGCAGTAGCTCCCTTTCTGCACGTACTCTGACTGCTCAAGGTTCAGCCAACTGTTTACTGTCTGGGACCCCACACCAACTTAGAGCTACATGCATGGGTCAATGTGACAGCCTGGGTCATTGAACCAGCCCCCACAGTCAGTACGTGCTAGGCCAGCCAGCCTCCATGGCAGCTCAAGGACAGAGCCTGGGCCACAGAGTCAGCCACCACAGTCAGTACGTGCTTGGCCACCAGCCTCCATGGCAGCTCAAGGACAAAGCCTGGGACTTGTCCAGGCCTGTCCAAAAATGGTAACTGTAACCCCCAACTAACCTTAGCCGCTGTTCCTATGTAGTCTGTAGACTCCAAGCCCCCCTTGCTTTAAAAACCCTGCCCCATTGCTGCTCAGGGTCTCTCCTGCTCTGCTGCTGCATCAGACAGACGGAGAGTCCCGAGTTAACTCGCAATGCAAAGACTCTTTGCTTTTGCATGGGATTTGATCTCTTGGTGGTCTCTGGGGACTCTGGGTACAACAGTAACTACAGGAAATCCCTTTCTGCTTTAAAATAATCTGCATGAATATAGAGTGAGTGGCAAGTGAAGATGGAATCAGACTGTCCACGTTTATAAGTGTTAGAGTCACGTGTAGGGCACACTGGGTTATTATGCTATTCTTTACACTTTTGCACAGACCTAAAGTAAACAAAACAAAACAAAAAAAAACAACAAAACACCATCAGATAAAATTTCTCAGCAGCTGGATTTCTGTGAATTTGAAGCCAGGCTGGTCTACTTATCAAGTTCCAGGCCAGCCAGAGTTGTATGGGTGAGACCCTGTCTCAAAACAACAAACCAACAAAACAAAAAGTACCCAAACCAAAGAACTATATGCTCTCGGTCTACAACAACCCTGAAATTTCTTTCTGTGTATGGAACAAATCAGCAGAATTAGAGGATGCCAGAATCAGAGGATCCTGGAGGCTTCTCACCGGGATCAGTTAGAAAGTTTGTGAGGCCGAAGTAGAACTAGAAGCAGAAATACAATTTATACAGGTAAATATGAATGTGCATTTTGTGTGTGGGTGCCTGTGTGTGCACAGTAAACATACATGTGGATGCTCCATGGAGAATGGCTGATTCCCAATCTGGAACAGGGAAAGTACATGATACATCTGGACTAATGTATTTGATCAAAGTAGGGAACACCAAAAAGAAAATTTCAAAAGGCTACCAGACACACCGCCTTCCATGAGATATTAGTTATAATGGAAAACAGTACTTTACAGTGGATACAACTGGTAAATGCCATAAGTAACAGACACACTGCCTTCCATGAGATATTAGTTATAATGGAAAACAGTACTTTACAGTGGATACAACTGGTAAACGTCATAAGTAACTGACAAATATGTCAACATCACCAACTCAGAACACATGGAAAGCACCTGCTCGTCTAATATGGTATGCTAGGACACAACTTCTCTAATATGCCAGCTAAAGATATGGGAATCTAATCACAAGCACAAAATGACCCCATACTGGGGAGCATACTGCAGAATAACTACCATGCTCCTCCAAGTGCATACTCTTTGAGTAATTTCCAAATCATTATCTCTCAGCCATGGTTTTGGTACACTCTGTGTTTTTTAATTTAACAGTTCATCAGTGTATCTCAGTGGTGTCTTAAATATAACCCAAACTGAACTCCTCTTCCCCCAAATGTGGGCTAATCTTTGCTATCTCCTGGATACATCTGGAAAGAGGGTACTCAACTGGAGAATTTCCTCCACTAGACTGGTCTGTGGGTATTTTCTTGATTGCCAAGTGATGTAGGAGGGCTGAGCCCACTGTGGGTGGTACCATCCCTGGGCAGGTGGTTCTGGGTAGTATCAAAAGCTGGCTGCGCATGAGCCAGGAGGGCAAGCAGCTTTCCTCCCTGGTTCCTGCTTCTGTTCCTGCCCTGCCTTCCCTCGGTGCAAGCCTGTGATGCAGACCTGTAAACCAAATAGCATCCCCCACATCGCCAAGCTGCTTTTGGTCCTGGGGTTTATCAAAGAAGCAGAAAGCAAACTAGAACACCCACTTTCCATGTCTACTCAAGGAAGGAACTAGTTATGCCGTATCAAATTAGTTCCAAGTCAGCCCATTGTGTCTCCTAAATATGTCTACGTAGTTAGTGTTGACTGCCGACTTGACAGAGTCTAAAGTCACCTGGGAGATGGGCTTTTGGGCACGCCTGCGGGGGATGGTCTTGATTAGGTTAAATGAAGTTGCACCATTCCCTGACTGGGATCCTGGGCTGTATAAATAAAGGAACTGAGCAGCAGCACACAGACATGCTTGCTCATTCTACCCAGCTGTGTCATGTCCCAAGAGCTAAACTAAACTCTCCTAAGTCGCTTTGGTCAGAGTATTTTATCACAGCATTGGGAAAGGAAGTCAAGACAGCGGTCAGATCTGACCACTTCCATCTTCCTAGCCAGCGGATTAGTTAATGCCTCCTGTCCAGCCCAGAAAAACACTGCAGGAATAACTTTGTACAACTTCCTGCCTTGGAGAATTGTCTCTGGAACTTATGCACGTGGTGGGCCCCAATAACACTGGTTTAAAAATCAGCAGAACAAACAGACAATGTGAAAAAAAAGAACCCCTTCAACACCGTCTTGCATTACATGATGTATCACTTTATCAAGTTTATGAATGGGTCCCTTTCATTTACTTTTAAGCAATTTGTAGACCTACTCAAATCATTTTTGGTTTTGCAAGATCGAAACAAAATAACATCTCCAAAATTACACACTACAACAAGAAAAAAGTATTTAGATATGTAAAACCGACAGGCCTCGATATTCTAGAAGGGCAAGATAAAGTTATCACCTGTACCTCACTTATCCAAATGCAAGGATTTAATGTTTTATCAGTAGAAAAGACAGACTTGCTTACCATGTCTGGTAACTTTTTGTCTTTCTTTTTTATGAATTTTCGCTTCGTATCCTCTTCCTGCTCCAATCTAAAATTTTAATATACAAAGACATTTACCAGCACGGAATGATGCCTTGAGAACATTTGCAGAAACTCTTTAAACACTCACTGAATGAAGTGCACTATGCTCTTACAGGTCGAGCTGTCAGTGAACTCTCCCGTGCTCAGGTCGCTGTTTGGCCAGAGATACACGGGGCTGTTGCAGATTCTGAACACGAGAGCGTCTGACGACAGCTTGCTAGTGAGGTCGTCCAACACTTGTTTTAGTGCGTTCTTGACAAACATGTCTAAATGAGAGGCGAAACGGTCAGCGAGATCTTCAACTTTTGACACGAACGGTTTTAAACATAAGGCAAGAGCAGAGGACAGCGAACCTGACTCCCAAACCCCCTCCCCTAACTTTCAATCACTATCACAATTCTGGCCTCTCTAGCTTTATAGTTCTGAGACCATCAATTCCATCCAATGGCTTTTAGCACGTCTGTAACAATTTACGACCAGTACTAACGTTTTAAAAGCTATCATTACAGCATTTTCCACACCCTCAAAGAGACACCCTGCCCCCGTTTGCAGTCACTCTTCATGCCCCTTCACTTTTCATCCCTTATCTTCTGAATGTCTGACTCTAACGTCACAGACGGCATGTTTAGGGATGGTTTCATTTACCATCAGGGAGTTAGCTGTTGCCCTTCCAAACTCACGTTCTCCACCCCCTATTCTGACCACTCTCCCTCGAGTTTCAGATTTAACCAAGTGCTCCCTGGAAACCTGGACACGATGTCCCAGCCAGCAGCATCTCAAAAGTATCGCATCTCGGCTGCAGTTTCTCACACTCCTCCCTGGGTACTCTCCATCTCAAGTGTTCAGCATCAGCCTCAGGCAGCAACTAGAAGACATCCTGGGATTTGCTTCAGCAAGATCCCGCTGATTTTCTCCTCCTCCAAGTTTCTTCTAACACTCCAGTAGACTACAGTGTTTAAAAGAGCTGGGCACCAGGACATGGGGTAACACACACTTACAACTCTGCCATGTGCAGCTCCAGGCAGTCTATTTACATTGTGTTCATTAGGGATATTTTACCCGTGTGTGTGTGTGTGTGTGTGTGTGTGTGTGTGTGTGTGTGTGTGTGTGTGTATGAGAGAGAGAGAGAGAGAGAGAGTTAGTTTTCTTCAAGATAGCCCTAAAGGTTCATAAGGAAGGTTAAATCTCTTAATTTACACAGAGATGCCCTGTGGGCTGGAAAGGGAGTTAGAATACAGCACCTAAAGTTGAATCCCATTTAATTTGAGTTTAGTTTATTTTTCTTATCCTCAATATGTATCACTATAAATTCAACAACAAAGGAAGTTTTGGGAAGACGTACCTTTAGGAGGGGCTAGCTGAAAAGCCAGATCAAAGCCTCCTCTTACTCGGAAGAGTATATCCATAGTTTTGGGAGACCACCTAGAACAAACGAAACCGCAATTCCCTTGTAAAGCAAGACAGACCCATCTTCACATAAGTTAGAATCTACTTCAGTTTAGAATACGCCATTAATTTTTCACTTATTTAATGAGTTATTTCTTTATGCATAAATATACCGCAAATATACCTGCACATTCTAAAAAGGGGGTTTTTTAAACCTTAATTCCGTACTGAAATCACCTAGGGAGCTTAAAATTCTGACACCCAGGAGGCACGGCCAGAGATTCTAATTAATTGGCATGAGGCTGTCCCAGGCACAGGAGTATGTAAAAGCCTCCACTGCTTCCTTTCATAGTGATTACAGTGTGAAAAATCAGTTCAGAATCAACACACTAATACTTCTAACCATGGTCTTGATGTACTTGGCAATGACATGAAAACATCAGCAGTAAAAAACTAGTTTATGAATGTGACGAGAACACTGGGCCTAATGTGCTGAGAGATTGTGGCCAAGTCACTGAGAGCAAAGTAATTACTGAGGGTGAGAGCAGACACTGGTGGACCTCTCCGTCTTGAAAGGTCCAACCACGATTTTACACTTAGAAAATACCCCGAGATTAGAGTACAAGGATGCTAACCTAGCCGCCATAGCTAGAGAAAGCATGTTAGACAGAATTCGCATGGCCTGGGTCAACGTCACCATTGACAGAGAGAAAAAAGGCATCTCAAAATGGATGAGACTAGCAGTTCTTAATTTGAATCCATACGCTGAGTTTCAGGTAGCAAATGAGTTACGACAAAAGACCTGTATCATAATGTGTTTATGTGTGTATGTGCGGGGTGGGGGGTGGATCTTGATGTTTCAAAGATTTTATCAGATTCGTACAATACGTCCTGAACAGGCTGAAGAATTACAGTACACAGTGGGAAACTGTGATGCTCTGAAAGAGAATGGCCTCCCATAGGCTCATGTTTGAAGACTTGGTCCCCAGTTGGTGGAACTGTTTGGGAAGGATTACGAGGTGTGATGCAGTTGGAGGAAGTGTGTCATGGAGGCAGGCTTTGGGGCTTCAAAAGCCTCCCACCATTCTCAGGATGCTCTCTGCCTCCTGCGTGTGGATCAAGATGTGAGCTCTCGTCTTGATTTGCTGCTCCAGAGGCTTTGCCACGCCTCTGCCACACCACCACAGACTCTTAAATCTCTGGAACTGAAAGTGCAAGTAAACTCTTGGTCATGTGCATGGTGTTTTATTACAGCAATCACAAAGGTACTAACACAGAAGAACCCTATCCTGAAACAAATGGGCAAGTACTCACACCTATTACCTGGACACTGGACTAAATGACCAGACATGGGGTGTATATTACCTTTGATCTACAGAACCTTAAGAAATAGGTACCACTACCGTTTTGTATTTTGCAAATTCCTTGTCACATTTCTGTAAGAGTGATAGCATTTATTTATTTATTTATTTATTTATTTATTTATTTATTTGGTTTTTTCGAGACAGGGTTTCTCTATGTAGCTTTGCGCCTTTTCCTGGAACTCACTTGGTAGCCCAGACTGGCCTCGAACTCACAGAGATCCGCCTGGCTCTGCCTCCCGAGTGCTGGGATTAAAGGCGTGTGCCACCACTGCCCGGCGCATTTATTTATTTTATACACTGTAACCTGTTGAAAGATCATACCATATGTCTCCATTTCACTTCATTGAATTTGTCCTATGCAAACAATAAAAAAGTTCAATACATAATGCTGTTCATTTATCCTACTATTGTTTATCATAAGAAACCAAACCCTAAAGAATTGGAAAATACTGTGAGAGCTACCAATAAGAAGTGTTTTGTTTGTGTTTGTGTGTGTGTGTGTGTGTGTTTGTGTGTGTGTTAAAGGCAGGGTTTTCCTGTTAAGCTCTGGCTGTCCTGGAACTCACTATGTAGCCCAGGCTGGCCTTGAACTCCAAGATTCACTTGCCTCTGCCTCCCAGGTGGTGGAATTAAATGAGTGCACTACTACCACCTGGCCCAGTAAGATGTTTGATAAAGAACAATACTACTATTTGAATGATAAAGAAAGAACAATACTACTATTTGTATAAAAAAAACTTAAACTGAAGATTTAAAAGACAAGCAAGAGTAAAATTTAAAATAAAAAAATAACTCAGGTACTTATTGTATGATTCTGATTAACTTAATCACTCGTGTCTGTTCTCTTCTGTAAATTTGGAAAGAAAGATATAACTTCACTGGGATATTATGAAGACTCCTTAAGAAACCATATGTGAAAGCCCCAGAGTCTCTTGAGGTTTCTGAATCAAGATCCTCTCTGGGGATGTAATACTTAAGCTGAAATCTGAGGGGCAAGTAAGTAGATATTAAAAGAAGCCTTGAAATTTCCAAAGGAAAGAGGCATATGTACGTATGTGTGTGTGTGTGTGTGTGCACGAACGTGCATGTGCATGTGCGTGTGCGCGCGCATGTGTCAAAGTGCCCATTCCAGACAGAGTGACCAGCTGCTGAAGGCCTGCTTAAAACAACATCTAGGAAGACAGATGTGTGGTATATGACTATAATGCCTACACTTGGCAGGTGGAGGCAGGAAGATGGGGATTTCAAAGTCATTCCCGGCTGTCTAGCCAGTCCAGGGACAGCTTGGGTTTTGTGAGACCCTGTCTTAAAACCAAACCAAAGCAAAAGATTACTTAGAATATGACCCAATAGGATGACGGCAAGGACCAAGGTCAAGACGGTAAGGGTAAAGAGGGCGCTATTACAGACACTCGGAAGTAGAACCCAAGAGATTTGATTATTGACTTGAGATGAGGCACATGTGTCAAGTGCTTGGTGGGCACAAGAGGGGTGAGGTGGGTTATCTGCAGAGACGTGTATTCTGAAGGAGGAGTGTGGAGAGAGGGGGTGGAAATGGTGCGTCAGCTCTACAATGGCTGAGTTCGAATGATCTATTTAAAAGGAAGCAGTTGACTAGATTTATGAATTGGGTTCAGAAGAAAGGGGAGAAAGCTCAGGGTGCAAAGTGTATCTGAAGAAGACAGACATCTGCGGTACAGATGGCGGGACCCGGCTGAGCTCAGAGACTGAGCGAAGAAGACAGGGAGAAGGCGACGCCACGTCAGCGAAGGGAGCAGACTGGAGGAAGTTACGCCTGTCTTTCCAAAATCAAAAGTTCTTCCTTCTTAGCTTCCAAATACGCCAAAGAGTGCCTCACTGTCAAGGTGCAATGACTGATCCCGAAGGTCGGGTGTCCTGGTGCAGCTGAGGCAGCTGGGAGACCCAAGTGGGGAAATTTTGCACCGCCACCGTTGGCCCCTCGGGGCCTGCTCCTCCCAGGGGGCTGGAGCCATTCTCCTAAAGGCTGCCGAAGTCCTAGGAGGAAACACGGGAGGGTCACTGACAATCGGAATCACTTACCAGGTTCACCACCTGGAGATGACAGGGATGACGATCTCGCGCAAGTCAAGGTCCGCCCGGAAGTGGCGTCAACGCCCGCCAAAGGGCGGGCTCCGGCCGATGGACTACAACTCCCAGCATGCCTCGCACCAACCATCGCAGAGCGTACCATACTGCAGCTGTTCGCCGATGGCTAGAGGGCCGGGAAACAGAAGGCTTCGTTTTCGAGAGATTTTTTTTTTTTATTGGCTGAGACTTCTGTGTCCTACGGGCGTCCATCGATCTTCTCAGTCGTTCTGTGCGGATTCGAATGCTCCGGTGGCCGCCCTTAGCGTGTTGAGAATGGTTTCTCCCGTTCCCACGGCAACGCGGCCCAACAAGCGCCAGCTGCTGCGGGCTGAACAGTGCGAGGCGCGCGCCGCTTTGCAGCTGTGCTGGAAGGCGCGGGCGCGGGCGCAGGCGCGGGGCCCCGGAGCTCTCCAAGCTCTGCAGTGGAGTGAACCCCGATTGGAGCTGGGGCCTTCTGATCCTGGTTGTGGGATTGCTTAGGTGCCCTTTGGAGAGGTGACTTGGCCTCGCGGACACGGGGTGTTCCTTAGATACCTGCCTACTTCAAGCCTCCTTTCCCTAGTTGAATTAACTTAAACATCAGTTATTTTCTCCCTTTTAGCCAACCCCTCCCCCTAGCCCCTTTGGCATAGAAAAATATTTATTGAGTTAATTGCAAGGTTGCAGTGGGCAGGGCTATAACAGAAGAACCTTCTTATCCAAACTTGTTGAAGGGAGCTTGCCATAATCTGCTTGTGTGGAATTCCACAATTTTCTTGTCTACTCGATTATAAGCCAAGATTTATGCCTTTAAAGTCCATTTTTCTACTCATATCTGACCAGGTGGAGAGGATGGAAAAAGCATTTGTGAAATGTAGAAATGAATGTTTTGTAAGTTTTATTTGTGAGTTAAGGTTGGGACAAAGTGGAAGGCTCTCAGAGCCTTCCTCCCTGGCTGTGCAGGGCCGTTGGGGCTACTTTGGTAAATAACTAAAGGAGTGGTAGGTGGTGTTAGGGCTTCGCCATTCTAGCCACTCTGGAGGCTAGGCCAGAAGTTCCCTTGATTTCAGGAGTTCCATTCCAGTGTGGGCAGCTTAGTGAAGACCTTTGCCTCAAGAACGTGGTGAAGGGGATTCACACTCATACCATGGTTCCCAACTGTGAAACAGTTCACTGGGGGAAAACAAAAGATTGCATACACCATTAGATGGCCAAAACGAAGTTTGGGAAGGCTGTGCGCAAGTCGATCTGATGGGGCAAGGGGTGGCGAGTGGGGGATAAAAGAGATGATGAGCAAACCGATCAGTCTGAAAACTAAAAAGAATTAGATCTGAAACTTAATAATCACTCTTTCTACTAAGAAAAACATTTCCCCATAGTTTTAAATGTAAAGTAGGATTTTGCTGCAAAAGAAGATCCAAGGACCTTTTTGAAGTTACCACCAAAAGAAGCAATCATGCCTGGGGAAACAGGGAAAACCGACATGGA